CTCCAAACTTTTCTTACATATACTTTCTCATTTCCTATTTTTCATTAAATTTTTAATTTAAGGTCTAACTGAAGCTATGGATATTTTCGCGCTAGGCTGTTTATTTGTCGAATTATTCACTGATGGTCGTCAAGTTGCATTTAATCTACCACAGGCAATTGATTATAAACTTATGGATGATGAAAGTGCTGAGATTTATTTGAAAAGATTGCTTTCACATATTTCTGAACAAGAATTTGTCCCTTTAATTAAAATAATGTTAGATAGAAATCCAAAAAGAAGAAGAGAAGAATTTCTTAAGGTTTTTTTAATTTGAAATTTTATTTATTTTTAATTTTAAAAAAGCTCTCACCATGTTCTTCATATAATTTATTTCCTCCCATATTTGAAAAATATTTGTATAATTATTTTAAAGAACTCCAAGAGCAACCAACTCCCGATGCTTTAATTACAAAGTTTTTTTTAAAGTTTTTAATTAAAAATAATAAAAATATCAGACTTTATGTTGAACGAGACAATTTTATTTCAATGATTCGTGATCTCGATTGTTCCTCAGTTTCTGTGTTGTTTATTAATTATGTTTGCGTTTCTCTACGCAGTTGTCAATCATTAACATCGAAAATGGTTTGATTTAAAAATTATTTTTTTAATTTAAAATTACTCTTCATTTTAGGATGCAATTTCACTTTTACATCAATTATCTAAAATTTGCACTCCTGTATTAGTTTTTGAGCGAATTATTCTTTATTTGGCAAATTCCTTGACTGATTACTTTGCATTGGTTCGGGCAGAAGCTTTGTTAGTTTTGGGCGAAATACTTTGTTCTGTTGAAACAATTCCGCCAGAAGAATGTCGATTGCTTGACTTTATTTTTCCAAAATTTGTTTGTTAATTCTTATTGAATATATTTAATGTTAATTTTCTAGAAACTTTTATTAAATGATCCTTCAAATCTTGTTAAAATTGCTCTTGCAAGCAATTTAGGCAAATTCGCTCAACTTGCTAAAAGGTTATTTTTTGATTTTATATATTTTATTCTAATATATTTTAGATTTTTTGAATTAAATGCAGCTCGTCTTCGAAGTGACTCACCTGAGCAACAATCTCAAAAAGATTCAAATCTCTCTCAACTGGATCCAAAAGCTCCTTTTGTTTCCCCTCCATTAGACATGGGAAAGAGTAGCACAAGACTGGAAGTTTTCTTAAGTAATGAAAAACAACATTTGATAGAAACCGAGTATAAATCGTCTCAGGTATTTTTAATATTTGTAAAATATAGATTAAAGCGGAAAGGGATTCAATTATTAATGAGTTGAAAACCGTTTGGTGTTTGAATTTATTTTTTACATTTGAAGCTTAATAACAATTTATTGACCGGATTCCTAATAAATTCAAATGCTGAATGACGCTTATTTAGCTTGTCATCTTTCCCAGCTCTTTTTTTCAGGACGAAAAAAATTTTTTTTAATTTCAGGACGCCATTACTGAACTGTTTGTAACACTTTGTGGTTCAGAAAATGAAGTTCGAAGATGTATTTTTGAGGCGACAAATTTGGATTTACTTTGTCAATTCTTTGGAAGTTCAAGAATTGTTGATGTTTTGTTGCATATGATCTCGTTTGTTTTTTTTGTTTAAATTTCTTTTATTAAATTTTAGATTATTAAATGACAAGAATGATTGGCGTATTCGTTCGGCATTTTATGAGGCTTGCCCAATTCTAGCCAAGCATTTGGGACAAAACAGAACGAGCAAATTAAAGCCATTTCTTTTGTCAGGACTGCAAGACAGTGAAGAGTTTGTTGTTATCGAAGCATTTCGTTGTATTTATTTGCTACTGTCCCAGCAGTTATTATCATCTTCTGTAATTTTTAATATTCTTCCAGATGTTGTTCCATTTCTAATACATCCCGTTAGTTTTTTTGAATTAATTTTTAAAAATAATAAATTCAGAACAAATGGTTGAGAGTTATTGCAGTAAATATTTTGACCGTTCTAGAATCTTCATTTTCTATTGCTGATATTTATTGCAAATTAGTACCACTTCTTCAACCATTTCTTAAAGAACAATTAATTCGATTGAATTGCTTTGATTTAATTTATGAAACCTTGGAACAACCAATTTCACGACAAATTTGGGATTTACTTTTAAGTGAGTCTTTTTAATTGGTTAAAATAAATGTGGAATTCTTTTTAAAGAAGAACATCATTCATTTGAATTAATTTCTGCCATTGAGGAACGTAAAACTGTTGAAAAACTTGGTGGTGGTAATGATTCATATTTTTCTTCACTTGGTTCATTGTCGGCAAGTGTTAAAAATAATCGTTATAAAATGGATTCATTAATGCGTAAAATAAAAAATACGGGAAGTACAGATGAAAGATTGGATATTAAGCTTATTGCCTTTAAACATTTATTTGGCCGGATAGAAAAATCAAAAAGGTAAATATGCCCTTTATTATATAAAAATTTTACTAAATTTAAGAAGAGATCGCATTGAAAAATATTTGGATTTGTCTAGAATAAATTTAAATGAAATTGAAAGAGTCCACCGAAAAGTTTTTGATTTGGAAAGAGGTGTACATAGAAAAGGACGTGAATTAACTGTAAATCTCAATAATTAGAATTTTTTATTTTTACATTTTAGTCAAGTCATTTCTTTGTTGATCAGTTTGGTGCACAACATATAATGCTTAACACATCTGAATTGATTGAACCTGCAAATGTAGTTGATCTAAATGATGCAAATCATTCAGCATTGAACCAACGGGTATTGGGTAAGCTTATTTTTATTTTATACATAAAAGTATATTTTGCTCTTCAGATGAATCCTCTGAACGGATTTTACTTGAAGAAACTCTTCGCCATAAACAAGAACGTTATTCTGACCAAAAAAGAATTACAACTAAAGTTAGTGAATCAAATTCAGAAATAGCCGAAAGAATAGCTGCTGCAGCAATCGAAGCGGGTACTAGTAGTGAAGATGATAAGGCAATATCATCTAAAGATGGTGAATCCCTTTCTTATTTTATCTTATTTGGCAATTTTTTTAAGACTTAAATTCCCGACAAAGGGTACTTCGCAGCTCAAGACGGCTTAATATTCGGATGCTTGCTCATCTACATGAACATTCAGGAAAAATAACTAGGTTTTTGATAATTATTGGAACAAAATACTTAAGAAATATTTGATTAGGCTTGCAAGCCATATAGCACACGATTATATTGCAAGTGCTAGTGTTGATAAATCTGTTAAAATTTGGTCGTCTTCCCTCTTACAAAATCAATCACAACCTGCTTCGATGTCTTTGGACACTTTTCGATATTGTAATTATTCTATTTCTATAAAAATTCAAGAAAACTATTTTAAGCACATCCAATTAATTCATGTAGTTTTATGGGTGATCGTGGTAATCATCTAGTAATGGCGTGTGCTGACGCCTCTCTTCAATTATTTGACATTGAACGTAAACACTTAATAAAATCAGTTCAATTGAATAGACAACAAGAAGGTCCAATCACTGATTTGTATTCTTTTGAACATCTAATTTATGCGTTGACGCATCATAGTAGTGTTTTTTGTTATGATTTGAGGTAAGAAAATTTCACAATACAATTTTTAGATTTACCTTTTTCAGGGTTGCACCAAAGAAAGGACGAAATGCGATTGATCTCTCTTCTGTTTGGCAACATAGAGTTAAGAATAGGTTTAATTATTTTTGTTTTCTATTGATGAATGCTTCTTCTAGTTATGGTTTAATTACTTCATTTTGCATTGACTCTTCTAATCAACAATGGATGCTACTTACTGCTAGTTCGGCCACGACCAAGAATATGCTTTTGTGGGATTTAAGGTTAACTGGATAATATAATTTTAGAAAATTTCATTATTTTAGATTTGCAGGATTAGAAGTAGCAACATGGTCTCATCCTTCAGATAGAATAATTCCATTACGTAGCTGGTAAGTATCCACATTTAACCAGTTATAGTCTTTATTTTCGAGGCATCTTTCAAATCATCGTGTTATAACAAATTGCACACGGGAGTCTGAATTGTCACTTTGGGATATTTCTTCACAAAGCAGATCTGACGTTCTTTGGCCAAGCGTTGAAACACCTTTGGTTTACAAGGTTGTCTATTGAAACGAAAAATAATAAAAATTTAACTTTAGAACGAAATTGTATCTTCAGCCGTTGCTCCTTCATTGACTGATCGGGAAAATATTATCTTCAGTGGGGATTCTGAAGGTACTTATATTTTTACAATGTTTTGTGACAAATTAAAAAATTAAGGCAGTCTTCGGGCTTGGAATTTATCTACCCCGAGTGCTTCAACTTATCTTTGTGGTCCATATCGTCGACACTTGCCTATACTCGAAAGTATTAGTGACTTACAACAAATTAAAACCCCAATGATTTATTATAAACAAATAAAATGTCAAGACAACGCACTTAAAATCCATGTGGAAGATCGCAGTCAATTACTGACACAAACAGATGGAAGTGAAGAACAACAAATGACATCACTTTCTGGTGGAGGTGGTCAACAAAAACTTTTACATGTAAAATTTTTAATTTTCACAATCGTATTTATTTTATAATATCAGGTACCAGAGGCTCACTGGGATGGAATTACTGATTTAATTTCATTATGGCCAGATCTGTTAATTTCTTCGGGACGTGAAGGTGTTATTAAACTTTGGAAAGTTTGCTGAAGTTTAGTCAGTAGAGATGTGCGAGACTTTTGGTTTTGAAACTTAGGATTTTCTTATTTCGGTCCCGCACATCTCTGTTTAAATTTATATAAAAATTTTATATTTTCTCAGCGTTTTTCTCCTTTTCTTGACTTGTGCTAAATGATTTTCTTGCCTTTTATTATAAAAATTTATTTTGTATAAAGTGATATTATTGAATGTTATAAATAGATATCGACTAATATCTGTCGTTTAATTAATAATAAAACTTGCAAGAGTCATCGTTATTTTTTAACAATTTAGTAAAATACCCTTCGTTGAAATGGCAGTTCAGGCAAATGTGCAAACACAGCCGTCTTCTTCTACTTCTACTGTTTCCACTTCTAAAGAGAAGCAATTTCATTCTGTAGAGGAATACCGGAAAGCTCTTGAAAAGTTTGAAGCTCCAAATGTGGTATATACTTTTTGATATGATCGTTTATAGGTTGTAGTTAAGTTATTTTACATTTGATTTTTAGGGAGGAGAAATAAATTCCACAGCATCTGAAGAGATTAGTCGTTCCAGGGACCCACTCATCGATGAATTTTTCGAACTTATTGCCAACACTGGCCGACCTCACCTTCCTTGGGAATTAATTCAAAAGGCATTTATATGGAAATTACAGGTAGTTTTTTAAAAATATTTTGGAAAGAATTTCCTTTAAAGGCTGTTATGGATGGAATGCATATAATTGAGGCTGGACAGCAAAAAGATGATCATAAGAAGGAAGAATTGATTAATGATAAAGAAATTGGTGATTTAAAGCATTTTATCATGGATAAAGCTAAAGAGTTTGATGGCACGCCGTTTACTATACAAAGGTAAAAATTAAATTTAAGGAACTATTGTACTATATTTAAATAAATTCAGATTATGTGAGCTTTTAATTGAACCAAATAAGCATTACAATCGAACGGGGGTGTTTTTGCGGGCTTTGGAGAAGAATATTAATGTGGTATGTTTATAAAATTTTAGAAGGAATATTAAATAAAAAATTAGAATTTATTAAAAATTTTCGAAACAGAACAAAAATAAAAATTTCAACGTGTTAATCTTTCTGAATAATAAAAAATTATTATTCGATTTTATTAAGATGACTACAATTACAGAGGACGGTCTGAGGATTACTGGTTCGTTGATAAGATTATTACTTCATAGAATTAGTATTTTACTTTAAATTTACAAACAATTTTGTTTAGGAGTAGAAGATGAGACAGCAATTGGTATGGAAGATGATGTTTCAGTACCTGTTGAGTGTAATTTTATTGTTAGTGTAAGTTTTTTATATTATTTGTTGCAGGAAGGATTTTAAGATAACCAAAAAGAGAAAATGATACTTGTGATCGTCCGTAGCACCACAAAAGGACCTTTTATAATGTCATACATACATATGTAGTTTGCTCTTTACTAACAACAGGGTGTGGGTATTTCCATACAGATAAGGGGACTAGTTCCTTAACAAGAGTTAATATTTTTTGCGAGGGGACAATACATAATTACCGTGAAAGATTTTCAGGTTGATGAGATAGATGAACCATTAACAAAAAAGATAGCAAAACAATCTCACATTGGCACAAAAGTAGAAAGTGGTGTTACAATAAATAAACCTATTTCGACTAATATTCAGAATCAAAATAATGGGGAAGATGAAGAACAGTCTTCAATTGTTGGAACATCAAATATAAAAGAAGAGACTACGACAACTTTCGACAATGAAGATAAAGAAAAGGAATATGAAAGGAAAGTTGAAATAAAATTGGATGGAGATAATAATACTTAAATATTAAATTTTGATATTAATAATTGTTTTTAATGTTTTTAGACACATAAATGAAAAAAATCAGGCAATTTTGATCTAAAAAATTCGCATTTTTATATTAAAAGTCCTCAAATTATTAAATACAATGACTTCAACTATTTTGAGCACTTTTTTGTGAGTTTGTAAGGTCAGAGAAGAATTCACTTTTTTGTGCAATTTTTAAGGAATTGTTTTTCGTCTGATTCCAACTGCATATATTATGTTATAAAACTTTTTGAGATTCTTTCTTTTGTTTTTTGATCAAAAAACATCTTTATTTTTATAACACGCATTCTTTGCGTGAAAACTGGGTCAAGGTTTTTTATCCTAAAAGCTGTTGATGCAAGATTCATTTACTTCATCGATAAAATTTTCTAGAATTTTTAACTATTTATACAAATTAACATTATTTTAAGTAAAAACAATGAATAATATTATAAAAACTTTTAATATTGGAGATCGAATAAATATTTTCATTGCCCTTCTTCTTTTAACACTTTCACTAGCTTTTGCATTATCTTCTGTTTTTAGTGATTTTTGGGTTAGTTTTTATTTTAAAAATATTTTTTTAATAATTAAAATGTATATTAGATATATGCAGATTCATTAACAAGGAATGGGACAATTTCAGAAAATAATCAAATTAACAGTGGTTTATTTCATGGTGTTAGACAAATTGACTGGTCTTTTGGTCCTAAACGAAATCATTTCTCTGGTTAAATAATCCTCCTTTTTAAATATTTTTAAAATAAATTTTAAAAAGTTTTCGATGAAATAAGAATTGGTGTAGCATTTATTGATAAACATATTTGGTTTGGAATTTTGTTGTCAACAGGACTAGGTCTTTTATGGAATTTAACAGGGATTTTTGTTGCGTTAAGAAATGCTACATTATATAATAATGATCCAAAAAATGAAAGGACAGCATTGGGGCCTTTAGGAATTTGTCTTTGGTCTGTTTTATCTGGTAGGTATTTATGGAGGAGAATAAATAATAATTTTTAAATTTTTATTATTCAGCTGTTGCATACGGTTTTTGTGTATTACTATTTCATTATCAATTTCTTACAAAAATTCGTCATAATGTACTTTTACCTGAAGAGAATGATGCAGGATTTTCTTCTGAAAATTGCATTCAGTATGTTTTTTTATATATAAAGTCGAATCTCGATATAACAATCGGCTCTCCCGAAAGTCAAGGGAGATGAGACTTTATTTGAAAATATTTTATTGAAGATTCTTATTAACTATTATTAAAAGTTTACAAAAAAATTCAAAAACTTTTCAGCTATGGATTTTCCTTCATTTTAATGATTGCTGCATTTCTCAGCCAAAAATGTACTTTTCTACTTGTATTTTTCACATTACGAGGTAAATCTGTAAAAGTGCAAAAATGCGAGAAAGAAAAAACAGACAACAATATTTTCATTTATTAAATTTTTAAACTCGAATATCGGGAATGTTTTGTTTCTGTAGGAGTGGGGGGCTGCAAATTTCAGAATTTCTATTGCAGATTTTTTGAAAATTCCACTACTAGAAACCGCAATATGTACAGTAAAACTTGTATTTTAATAATAAATGCTATTTAATTTTCTATTTATTTTTTCTAAAATTGTATGTATGTATATGTATCTGAGAAATGTCCAAAAAATGTTTCTCTACAATTCTAAAAATTTTGTTTTCACTATAATAGAACACGGCGTTTTAATTCAAGTTTTACGTATTTATTTTAAAAGTTTTTCCTTTATACATAATATTTAAATTTTTAGGTGAAATAAAAATTTGAAAATTTTTATTTAGTTTGTTTTATCGAAAAATATGTAAATACCAATTAAAATACTACTTAAAACATTTTAAAAAATAAATATTTTTTAGTTTTTAAAAGACTTCCCTCCCCCATTTAAAAATCAACCGTCTGATACCTTCTTTTCTTTAATCTCTAGATTTTTTATGTCGACTTCCTTCTTCCTTTAAAATTTTAATTAAAATTTAATTAAATAAAAAATACTTTTTCGCCTTTCTTTGAAGATGACGAGCTCCCTCCATGTTTTGAACTTTTACTATGTTTACTACTAGATTTAGATTTTTGTTTTTTGTGTTCTCTTTCATTTAAATCATCTTTTTTAGATTTTTCTTTTTCTCTTTCCTTTCTTTTTTTACTTTTACTAGTTTCAACATTTTTTTGTTTATGTTTTTTATTTGCTAAAATTTATTTAAAAATTATTTATTAAAATTTTTACCTGATTTGTGATGCTTTTTTGAAGATTTTTTATTTTTTTGTTTTTCTTCTTCAGTGTCACTAGAAATATCAATTGTCTCAATTTCTTTCTTTTCTTCTTCTGGTTTCTCAATTATTTCAAGTTCATTATCTGTATCGTTTCCTTTATTTGTTTCATCTTAAATTGTTTTTTTTTTATTTTAAATCTATTAAATGCGGGTCAGGGCCCTCTAGGCGGAAGTTTTCCGCTATCTTTTCCCGGTCGCGAGATAGCCAAGTTACCGGGATTGTTTCGGTATAATATTATAAAAATTTAAATTATTTAATTTATAAAAAATAATTAATTATAATTAATTATAATTTATTCAAAAGCCTCTTTCTTCTAACCTTTTTGTTTACCACTACCACTACCAATTTCTTTTTTATTTGTACTTATATTTTGATAATCATTATCTTCTTCAAGTTTAATTTTTACATAACCTCGTATTTCATTTAGCGTTTTATTACGCAAAAATGGATATTTTTCTATTAATGTGTGAAGTTCTTTTAATTGTTCTCCAGTTAATTTAGGAGTTGATTGTTTTTCCAATTCTTTAAAAGTATTATCTACTTTTTGTTTATTTTTCTCTTTCATCTTTTCTTTTTCTGTTAAAGAAACTTGTTTTTGTTGATTATCAGTAGCCGAATGCTGAATTGCTTCAGGGCCAACTTTATTAGTATTCTCTTCAACAATCAAATGTTTTTCTTTTCTTTGATTTTGAATATCCTTATCAACCAATTTCTCCTTTTCTTTTTCAAGATTTTTATCTGAGGGAATTTTATCTTTTTGTAGAGAATTTTCTTTCTCTTTTTTGTCTAATTGTTTTGTAATATTTTCCTCATCATTTCCAGCAATTAAATTCTCTTGTTTATTATTCTCTTCTAAATTAGCCTCATAATTCATTTCTTGACTTTCTTTATTTTGAGTTGTCTCATTTTGTTTTTCATCAATCGAATGTTCCTTTTGTTTATTAATTTCATTATTATTTTCTTCATTTAGCTCCTTTGGTTTACTATAATCTTGCTGGATATTCCCTTCCTTTTGGTCATTTAATTCTTGTTTTTCTAAACTTTCTCCAGTTGGCTGTTCTTCCTCTTTACGATTCACAGAAGGAATCTCATTTTGTTTTAAATGCGGTTGATTATGACTTTTTTCTACAAGTTTATCCAGAATTTGTTCATTTGGAAGTTGTTTATCTGTCAAATTCCCCTGTTGATAAATCTCTCGTTGAATAACGTCTTGTTCAACTTCTTGTCCTTCCATTTGATTCAAAGTAATCTCCTTTGCCTGTTCTGAATTTTTGGATTCTGAGTTATTATTTGGATTACTTTCCTTTTGCTTGTGTATTATTTCTTGTTCTTTATTTATTTGTTGTTCTTCATCTGAATTTAATTTACGGTCAGATCTATATTACACCTCTGGGAGTGGAAAAAGTGGGCGCTCTTCTTACCCAAGGCCCAAACAAATTTTAAAAAATGTATTCAAATTTGAGGGTGTATGTAATAGAAATTGGATAAATCAAATATTGGCCAAATAATTCCAAATATTTGGTTAATTTTTCAAATTGTTTGATTTAAATTTAATTTTTCCGATCTCTAGTATGTTCTTCCTCTATTAGATCATTTAATTTACAGCCGGATCTCGTTTTTACATACACCTTTGGGGATGAAAAAGTGTTGAATAATGTCTTGTTCCAATGCCCAAACAAATCTTTTTCAAATATTTGTTAAAATGAGATTATATATAAAATAGAGATCTTATATTACTTGTTTGATCATTAATTTTTTCTTGTAAATTATCTTCATTTTGTTTATCAATTCCTTCTTTTTGATTGTCTAAATGACCAGATCTAGTCTCAATTAACTGACCGTCTGTTGAATTCTGTTGTTCTTGTCCTCTTTTTGTTTGATAATCTTCATTTTCCAATATTTGTTCATTATTAGAAGAATGTATTTGTTGACTAGTATTTTGTTGATTAACTTCATTTTGTTCCAATCCATCTATCCGATCCATTTGAATGTCAACATTTTGTTCGTTAATATTCTGCTCATTATCATCTTTACTACTTTCTTGGTTATTCTTTTTATTTTGTTGGGATTCTGTATAAATTATTAATTAATTATTCGATAAAATGTAATAATTTTATTTTCAATTAAAAGAATATTTTGAAAGAAAACTTTTAATAATTTAAATTAAAAACTTTTTTTCTAACAAAACAAATCAACCTTCAACGCTAATAGCATCATTTCCTACTTTATCTATTAATATAGATTGATTATTGCTACTAGAAGAAGCATTGTTTAGATTGACAATTGGAAGATTAGAAGTTGAAGATGTTTGAGGATTTTGTACTAAATTTGGATTGAATAAAAATAATTATTTTTAAAGATATTTTAAATTAAAAATTTTATTAAACAACGTCGGCGTGGTAGCGTCCCTTTTTAATTTCTCGACGGCGGAGACATAAATTCTAAATTTCTCAAAATTCAAAAAACATTTATACCTTCATTATTCAATCTTTCAAGCTTTTTAAAAATTTCCATTGCTCTATTTTGTGATTCTTTTATCCTTTTCAAACAATCATTTGCTTTATTTTCATAAATATTTTCCAATTTTAAATTTTTTTCAAATTCAAAAAATATTCTATTGTTATTTACACCAAAAAGTTTCTCAACAATATTTATTGTAAAAATTAATGAATTATTTGATGAGAGAGAAAGATAATTAACGGCAATAAAGTCTTTAATTATTGTATCCTTAAAAGATTGTAAATTATGTAAAAATTTATTAATTTAGAAATTAATTTAGAGATATTCTGAATAAGCTTTAGTGTTAGTTATGTATACACAATTCTCCTTAACCAGAGGCTACCAAATTTTCTAAAATCTTTTTTTATAAAAAATATTTAATTTACTTCATCATTTATAAATTCCCCTTTCACTTTTATTATATGTTCTATTTGTTTGTCCTTAATTTCTTTTATTAATTTTCCTAAATCCTCTTCTAATAATATTTCTCCATTTCCATTTCCATTAATTTCTACCCCATTTTTTAAAAGAGAAAATTTAAACCGTTCAGAATCATTTATTCCATTTAAATATTTAAGATTAATGTCAGTCTTCCATTCATTTGAAATATTTAAAATTATTTTGGAATTAAAATTTCCAAAACAATAGTCAATAATATTATTGGTTAATACCAATAAAAGCAATATTTTTAATTGCATAAAGCAAATATTTTTTTTAAATTTTCTTTCCAATTTTTGAAATTAAAAAAAATTTTGGAAGGAACTAAAAATATTAAAATTTATTTTAATTAATTTTTTTTTTGGGAAAAATAAAAGAAAATAATCGGGGACTTAAAACTTTAATTAAAAAAAATTAAAATTTACAACAAATAAAAATAAATTTTTATATTTTTTAAAATGAATTAATAAAAATAGGGGGGAGAGAAAGAAAAAGGGGAAGGAAAGCAAATTATGAAATTAGAGGCGGGGGGTAATGTAAAATTAATTTTTAAAATATTACTCGTGATTTAATAAAAATATTTTTTTTAAAAAATCGACAAAAAATGCCCTTTTCTCTTTATTAAATATTTTTCCCGCTTTCACATGATGTCCTTAAAAACCAAAACATAATTTTGAAAACTTTAAAGAATTTGCCGTCAAAAAATATTTTTTGTGAAAGGTTGCCCTTTTAAATTAAAAAAATTAAATTGTTTACACTGTGGTGCAAAAGTTTATATACACTATGGAAAATTTTCTTTAATGTACCGTATCTCGAGAAGTCGAAGTTTTATCGAGATAATTTTTTTTTCGCCTATAGTTTAAAAAGTGCTCTTTCTAATAAGCTTTAGTTTTAAAAATAACCCCCAGTACTTATTGAGATATACACCATTTCCCAAACTGCTTCAATTTTCTTCGGTGCAAAAGTTTATATACACTTTACAAAAATTGGATTTTTAGAAAAACAAATGGCAGGAAAAATACAAAAAAAATTCTGTGAACATTTTCATCAATACTGAGTAGAAAATAAAAAAGAACGAAGTCCGTAACTTTTTTCATCATCGAGATCTCAAATCACAAAAATCAACGGGAAAACGGGGTACAGTACTTTAAAAATTATTTTAACCCCCCAGGGCTTATATAAAAATTTTCTTTTGGGCTCATTAAAAAGCCCATAAAATTTGCTACAAAATACCATTGGTCTCGTTTTTGTAAAAAAATCTGTATAGTATTTACGTGTGGGTAACTTACTGTGAAATTAAAAATTTTAAAAATGTGGGGTATTTTGGGAGGTTTTGACTAAAAATGTTAAGTTATTAAATTCCTCGACCCCTATCTCCATGAATTTTTGATCGGAAAAATTGAGCCTGGGCTATCTTATAGTAAATTTTATGGGCTTTTTAATGAGCCCAAAAGAAAATTTTTATATAAGCCCTGGGGGGTTAAAATAATTTTTAAAGTACTGTACCCCGTTTTCCCGTTGATTTTTGTGATTTGAGATCTCGATGATGAAAAAAGTTACGGACTTCGTTCTTTTTTATTTTCTACTCAGTATTGATGAAAATGTTCACAGAATTTTTTTTGTATTTTTCCTGCCATTTGTTTTTCTAAAAATCCAATTTTTGTAAAGTGTATATAAACTTTTGCACCGAAGAAAATTGAAGCAGTTTGGGAAATGGTGTATATCTCAATAAGTACTGGGGGTTATTTTTAAAACTAAAGCTTATTAGAAAGAGCACTTTTTAAACTATAGGCGAAAAAAAAATTATCTCAATAAAACTTCGACTTCTCGAGATACGGTACATTAAAGAAAATTTTCCATAGTGTATATAAACTTTTGCACCACAGTGTATTTAAATTTCTAAATTTTAATTGTTAATAATTAATCTTTAGAAATACAATAGTAAATACAGTCGGATAGTGATTTTACTTTCATTTTTGAACAAAAAAACTTGAAGATAAAAATGAGGGTGTTTAGAGTTTAGTTTAAGTAAAAATTCTAACCGACTGTAAATATTTAATATAAAAACAAAAAATTACAAAAAAAGAAACAGTTAAAGATTAGGTATAGAAAAAAAGAAAATAATTAAAAGCTTTAGAATTAATTAATTAAAAGTTTTTAGTTTATTTTTTAAAAGCTCTTCCAGAATAGTTATTTGTTGTTTATGGACTCCTTTTAAATTATGATATATTGTTAGTAGTTGGTGGAGTAGAAGAGGTCATGTTAAACCTTAAAAAAGATTTTTTAAATTTATTTTTCACTCGTTATTTGTCTGTTTTTTTAAAGAATCTTAATCCTTATAACAGACAAAATTAAAAAAAACTTTCTCTTACATGCTATAACCAGGCTCGCCAGTAACTTCACGAACAACCTCCAAAAAGTTTGGCAGTGAAGGTGTTGGATCACCAATTGGATTAGTTGTGTATGTTTCCAAAATTATTGGAGAACCGATACATGCTGGGGGCAAAGGATGGACATAAATATCCAAATGAAAATACTTTAAAAATAAAAGGAAAGTTTAAAAAACTTTTAAAAATCAAAACTAACAACATTTCCATATGTAAAACATCTTCTCTTTTTATATACAACAGCTCTACTTTTATCCCTCATTTCCAAATAATAATCATATTCACGACGAGACAATTGTTTCCTTGTTTCAACTGGTTCAGGTAATCTAATCGAATTTTTAAAAATTTAAATTTTAATTAAAAGGAAGGTTAAAAGAACAAATTTTTCTAAAAAATTTCTACAAAATCTTAATTAAGTAAAAAATTTTTTTTACCTAATCCCATCAGGCCCAAAATAACGCCTTGTTGTCAATGAATAAGTTGTTCGATTATTCTGACAACGTGAACGGATACGTACCTTCAAAAAAATAAAAATATATGTAAATTCCTTTCCCTTCTCAAAATAACTCAAAAATTGTTTGTACTAGGTTGAGTCATAAAAAATATTGCATTTTGTTATCACTTATTTTTTCAGTGATAACTATTTTTATCCAATTTTGTTTTTATCTTATTTTATAGCCCAGAGTCTTAGCTTTATACTCATACCAAAATTTTAAAAATCGAAAAGACCAAAAAAAATTATGCCTTAAAGTAACTACAAACTTTTTTCTGTTTTAAAATGTTGCTAAGACTCTGGGCAATTATTTAGTTCAGTTAGATTTTTAATCTGTTTGAGTTTGCTTGAGATTTATCGATTTTTCTTGAAAAAAATTTTTTGATAAAAATGCGACATTTTTTATGACTCAACCTAGTATTTATTTAAAGTACTAGAAGCTTTATCAAATTAACCCCCTTCCCCTCCTTTTATCAAAAAAATTAATTACTTGATTGTTGCTCATACTTTGTAGATAAACATGGACAACGTCAAATTCTTCATAATTATTTGCCAAAAATTTATTTTCGTCAATTTTTGAAATTAACCATTTTCTTTTTTTGCTGTGTTTGGCTAAACGATCAAAAGAAATTCCAATTCTTTCTGACACAACACGAATTAATTTCATTATTTTGTCATTAAAATTTTGACAATCAGAATTATCAACAATTGAAAGACATTGATGTCCAATCCAAGCCTAAATTAAAAAAAAATATTTTTTTAAAACTTTGGGCAGAAATTGACCCAAAAAGAGAGGATTTAAAATTTTTACCAAATTACACCCGGTCACTTTATTCCCTCCCCCTTTCCTTCCTCAAGAATACACATGATAGTCACTACTTTACACCCTTTGACCCAAAAAAAGTATCGGGGACCCGAAACTGATTATCAAATTTCCCCGTCATTTTATAATTTTAAAATGATAAGAAAAGTCAAAAACAAAATATAAATTACTTCTCTAGTCTTTCGATCAACTAAAATTGCTTCCTCCATACTTTCAGTCCGTGCTTTATTGTTCAGACAAGTGTAGTATTGTTCTGCCCCATCTGCAGCTGTGACAACATGGACAATCTTTAAATTAATCAGAAATTCTAAAAATATTTTTCTTAAATTATTTTAAAATAATTTTTTAAAATTGCTTAAATATTGAGATTGGTGGGGAGAAAAAATCTAACAAGGAACCATCGTTTACTGTGACTGCGAATTTGATATATTTTTTGGTACCATTCGATAGAGGACCCTCGACTTAGTATCGTGGCGCTAACCGTTTTCTTGCAAAATTAGTTTGGGCCGAGTTATGGCCGTTCAAAGTTGAACGCTAGAGTCTGAAGTTATAGGGTAAATAAACAATTTCTCTCTTATTTTTCATCCTCAAAGAACCAAGCCACGCCTCTTCTCTTTGTTTATTGTGTCTAACATTTTCTCCCTTCTTTTTTTCCTCGCGCCTCTTGCATTCTTTTTTCCTCTTTGTAAGACAATGTGAGGAAAGCAGAGAGAGTGGAAAAAAGTAACAGCGCGCTTCTTTTAGCTTTTTTCATTATACTCAACCACTCCCATGGACCTAAACTTTGAACGGCCATAACTCGACCCAAACTAATTTTGCAAGAAAACGGATAGCGCCACAATACTAAGTCGAGGGTCCTCTATCGAATGGTACCAAAAAATATATCAAATTCGCAGTCACAGTAAACGATGGTTCCTTGTAAGGCTGGGGGAAAATAAAATAAACCAATTACTTGATTATATCTATTGTCTCGGAGATCAAAAACGTCCTTCCCAATTTCCTTCAAAAGTTTTATCCACATTACTTTTTCCATATAAGCAGAAGGATCTAAAGCTCCTCGATCACAGATAATTAAAACATTTTGCCCTTTAATCATTTTTGCTTGATTAAAGTAAACCTAAAAATTATTTTAGAATTTATTTAAAATTTATTTAACCTGTTCAAGCTGTAATATTGTTAACAACAAATCTTTTTGGAATTGGTAAGCCTGTTCTGGAGTAAATTCCTGGAAACGAGTCCGGCCTCTCAAAAGTATTGAGGCAGCCTCTGGGACAGTAAAAACCTTTTAAAAATAATTTTTTAAATTTAAATTTCTTAAAAAAACCTTCCATCCAAGCCCCTCAAAAAAAGTAGCCAAACGTTCCTGTCCTGTAGTCTTCCCACCACAAGGCCCACCAGTCAAAACCAATTTATATATTTGTTTATTTGTATCCCCATTCATATATGTATTTAGCATCTCCTCTGCTGATGGGACAGAGGGAACTTAAAAATAAAAAAGAAATCAATATTTTATTAAATTAATTAAATGTCAAAAACAGGGATAATTATGTAAATATTAGAGATTGCGCCGACCCGATTTCCGAATTTCGAGAACTTAATTAATAATGGGACTGTAATATCCTTTTTTCGTTAATTTTTGAAATGACTATTTGAGTCTCATAATTTTTAATTTTGATTTATTTGTCCAGCCTGAACCCGGAGACATGATTTAAAAAGGCAACAAAACGTAAAATAATGTTTTTGTTTATTTTATTTTCATGTCTGTCTCATCTCAATTAATAATATTTGCAAAAAAGGCAGACAAAAACTATCACAAAAAATAGCAAAGGAAATAATAAAAGCATGACAGCTGTTTTTTATTAACAAAAAGGATTATTTAACTTCCTGTGTAATTAATTAACTAATCTCTAATATTTATCTTTTATAATTCTTTTAAATAAAAAAATTACCGGGCAATTTTTCTTCCTTATCAAATCCAAATCTCTCCTTTTCTCTACTAATTTTGTTGTAATTATTTTGATAAATTCCATTATTATTTAAAATAATTTCTTCTTTTAAATTTAAAGAATTTTCATCTTTTTTAAAAATACAACATTCTCCTTTTAATTCTTTAAAAGGAAGAAAATGGTTAGTTTCGTGAGAAGTGTCCATATAAATATTTATTTTCCTTCCTTGTTTATTAATTGTAATAAAATGTTAATAAATGTATTTGCTTTTATTTTAATGTTGAAAATTAATAAGAAAAATATCAATTTTTGATATGTTTATTTTTAATCTTTTTACGTAAGAAAATAAATAATGATTGGAGAATTTAAATATTTTATATTTATTTATTTATTAGAATATTTATTACAAGAGATTAAGAAAAAAAAAGAATTTTTATTTTGCAAAAATTGCAAAATAAAAATATATTCTGGAATAAATTTAAAAAAAGTTTTGATTAAGAGAGAGAGAGGTGCTGATACAAATTTATACTAAAATAATATACAAAAATAAAATATAAACAAGAATCTCTAAAATTATTTTAAAATGTCTTGAAACAAAAAAATAATCACAAAAAACCAGTCAAAAATTTTCAAAATGCAACTTTATTTTTAGGTTTTTAAGATTTAAAAAAAACTGGGAATTTTCAATTAACTCTTCAATAAAAGCTTTAACAAAATTATTTGTTTAAGAATTAAATAAAGGATTCTTTTTTTAAAGAAAATTTTAATTAAAAATACCGTATTTCCTGAAATAGTACTCCCCCCTAAATTAGCACTCCCCCCTTAAATAGTACTCCCCTTTGGAGGAGGGTTGAAAAATAGTACTCCCCCCTGAATTAGTACTCCCCCTAAAATAGTACTCCCCCCAAAAATATTTTTCCTCTATACATATTTAAAAAAATAATACGAGACATTGAATTATTTTATTTATTCTAAGTATCGTTGTCGGTTTCACTTGATTCTTTGATAAACAAAACCTGAGAGCTTTCGGTTAACCGAAAACGAATCGAAATTTTAAACTAAAATTTTTCGAGGATTAAAGAGATATAATCCGATTAATTGGTGGAGTAAAAGTGGATTTTGGGTATATAAAGGGATTGATATCGGGTGTAAAATGGGTTCTGTATTAATCAAGTGGCATTTAAAAGACATCATTGGATTAAGGTTTGATATAGGAATTTGAGGGAATAATGAAGGGGGAGTAATATTAGGCGATTTTGGTTGATTAAGAGCGATTAAGCGATAAGTTGAATCATAAATCCTTCTTAATCAACTAATATCGGAAGTACAAAAGGGATGTGGAGGATATCGGTGTTTAATATGATAAATAACTAGACAGAGATTAGGTAATCCCTAGACACATGGGTTTAGTTGACCCTGATAAATCTTAGACCCGAAAATCCCCTTATATCCCTCGATATCACTCCAAATTCACTTATATCCTTTTTGATTTCCCTCAATAACCCGTATTTTAAGTCACTTGTGTTTAATTGTCTCGCAATTTGCTCAATTTTATACTAATTCGGATATTTTCTACAACTTTTATTAAAGAAATTTTTTGAAAATCAGGGTCCGGATCCGGCATTTTTCAAATAGCGAACTCTAATCGAATTTATTTTGAGATAAATTGAAATAAATTAAAATATTTTTTTTAATTTTGAAATAAATTTTCCTATGAAAAATCATGGAGGATGGTTGAAAAATAATACTCCCCCCTGAATTAGCACTCCCCCCTTAAATAGTACTCCCCTTTGGAGGAGGGTTGAAAAATAGTACTCCCGGGAGTACTATTTTAGGAAATACGGTATTTGGGGTATTTAAATAATCGGATAAAATTTTTATTTTTAAAAATTAATTTATTTGTGAAATAATTTAAAAAGACCAAAAACTATTTTTGTAAAGAAATTACTTTTCTTTGCAACATTAAAATATTTGTTGAGAATAATTAGTAAGAGAGAGAAGGGAAAGAAACTTGGAAAAATGCTGAAAATCAAAGAAATTAAATTAAAGGTTGTAGACATTTTTAGTTAAACAAAAAATAAATGTAATTAATTAATTAATTAAAAAAATATTTTTTTTGAATAAAAAAACAAATAAAAACAAAAATAAATAGAAAAAATTGCTGTAAATATATTTATTTAAATAAAGTAATTAATTATCACATATTTTTATAAATTTATTTGATTCTTATCAAAAAAAGACCAATATTATTATTTTTTAGATAAATTAATTAGTTCTTTTATTTTCAACATTTAAAATATAAATAATAGAAAAAGTAACAAAAATATTTTAAAATAAAAAAAAATTAAATTTTTGTAAATTAATAGTTAAATATATTTTTTAAATAATTTAAAATATTGTTTTGATTATTATTTGGAAATGAAATTTGTACAAAATAATTCCTAAAAGTATTTTGGAAAAGACAATCAAAATTTTAAACTTTTTAATTAAAATAGAATTTTAAAACTTTTATTAAAAAATATTTTTTAAATATTTTATTTAAATAATTTAAAGTTTCTTTTATAAATAAATAGTCTAGTTTTATATATAATAGATTAGATAAATGATCGATAAAAATTAAAAAAATTTATTTAATAAAAAATAATTCAAAAATTAAATTGAATGATTAAAAAGAACATTTTAAATAAAAAAAAATTTTTTTTTATTTCGTGAAATAAAAGTAAGAGGATTTTTCTTTTAAATAATTAAAAATACATATTTAATGAATTAAAATAAATAATAAAGATTATCATCATTACCATGGAAACGAACAAAGAATTTATTTAAATTAAAAAAAAAGATTATTTCTGATAAAAAAAATTTCAATTAATTATTATTTTCGTCAAAAAACTGTCTGATAAATAATTGAAAGTATTCTTTATTTATCTAGATATTTATTTATTTAGCTTTCTTTTAATAAAAGGACAACCTTACATAAAGTAGACATTAAAAAGAAATAAATGGAAAATTTTAAAATATTTAACAATTAAAAGTTTTTGAAGCCAAAAATTTATTTTTTTGACATTCTTTGAATTTAAGAAGGTTGAGAAGCCAGTAATCCTCCGCAGAGCTGCTGTCATTTTTCCACTTGAAGTGCCAAAACGCCAAAATATTCACACCTAAAATAGAAATTTTTAAAAGTAAATGCGAGAAGGGTTGATTATAAAATTGAATTTCTTTGCCAACAGGCTTCCAGAATTTCCAAAATTTCTAAAATGGAAGAACTCTATCCCAATATCATCCATCAATTCCAAATCTGGAGCCTCTTATTTCTAAAAAATTTGACTGAAATTTTATAAATTTTTACTTTTTGCGTTATTTTTTAAATTATTTTGGAAATATTTACTATATATACATATATGTATATCAGGGCTTCGATCTCGAATTTTTAAAAATCCGCAATTTTAATCGAAAAAATCCGCATTTGATATGAAAAATCCGCAAAAAATTATCAATCATAAAAGTTGAATTAAAATCACTTTATGCGTTATATTTTTTGACTCCAACAATTAAATTGAGCAATTTTTTCCTATGTACATACACTGCTCCACATAATTATAAGTCCACCCCTTTTTTCGGGATTTTTTGACTTCCAGTGATCCAAATTTTCTGAAAATTTAGAAACACACCTTTTAGTGAAATTAATGACTATTTTATTAAAATCCGAACAATTAAATGAAAAATTATGTTGACTTGAGCCAGGCCAGTAGCCAGGATTTTTTTCGGGGGATGGGTGGAGGCCAAGGGGAAAATTTTTCTGTGCCAAATTTTTGGCGCCTTCGGCGCCAAAAATTTTTATTTTCAGCGCCGCAGGCGAAAATTTTGAGGATTTTGGAAGGTCCTAGCAGAAAAATAATGACATTTTATCCTAAAAACTACAAGAAAATGCAAAAAATCCTCATAATCTTCAAAAGACCACAAAAATCCGCAAATCCGCATTTTTAAAAATAATCCTCATCGCCCTATCAAAAAACCACAAAATGAGGAAAAATCCGCAGAAATCGAAGCCCTGATGTATATGCATATTATTTCCAATCCAAAACATCTAAATAGCTAAAAATGCTTAATTAAAAACAAACAAAAGTTTAACTGTAGTTTGTACATATGTTTAAATGTAGTTTATATATAAATATACAATTTACTATGGCATTTTATTTAAAATTAAAATCGATAACACAAGACAATTAAACAGTAAAGTAAATCATGTGTAAATTATTTTATCTTCCCTATTATATGTACATATATCCTCCTCTCCTTTCTTATTTTATAAAACTTTATTTTATTTATTAATTTAACTTTAAAAAATTATTATGTAATTATTTATTTATTTTAAAATAATTAAAGAAAAAAAAATGAAAATTATTTTAACAATTATTTTTCTTCATATTCTTGCCAGCAGTAAATGAAAGTTATTCATTTGAAAAGCATTTTCGAAGCTAGAATTTTCAAAAAAAATATTTTTTAGAAAACAAATAATTAATTTAATTATATAGTTAAAGCTAAATTTCAAAACCTGATCATAAAAAATATTAAAAAGACGGTTAACCACAAGCCTTTTCAAAAGACTCCTAAATAGGGTTGCCAAAATGGCCCGACTCTGATTCCTATAAGTCACAACATCTTCTTTACAGGTGTACATATTATTTCCGATTCAAAACATCAAAATTGTTTAAAAACATACAAAAGTTCGACTGTAGTTTGTAATAAATATTTATTAAAGCATTTTATTTAAATTAAAATCGATAACAAAAGACAATTAAATAATCACAAGTTAATTATTCTATCTTCTCTATTATACATATGTATGTATATCCTCGCCATTCTTATTTTATAAAAATCTATTTAAATTTTATAAAAATTAATTTTATTAAAGAAATTTAAATTTAAAAAATGTATTATTTATTTATTTTTAAATAATTAAAGAAAAAAATGAAAATTATTTTATTTTTCTTAATATATTTGCCAGCAAGTAATGGAAGTTATCCATTTGAAAAGCATTTTCGAAGTTAGAATTTTCATAAAAAAATTTTTAGAAATATTTAAATTAATTATTAAAATTAAATTTATAAAATTAAATTTCAAAACATAAACAAAAACTTTTCCGTCTTCGGGCATTCTTCACTTTAATAAAAATTCTGATTCCGGATACCCGAAATTTTCTGCCAAACATATTCACAACCATCGAATTTCTAGAAATCGGAAAATAAAAAATCAAATCGAAATTTTTCCTCCACCATCCACTGATATTCTCCTTAATGCCTATAAATCCTCTGATATCCACGATTTAGGGATTAAGAAGGATATCGAGGGATTTGGAATATTCAACATAACTTTGAAATTAGTTATTTAACCAAAGCTTTGATTTTTCCGATCTTCAAAAATTTCTTTTTATTATGTACAGCAGGGATGGGCCGGGTTACCCGAAACCCGATACCCGAAACCCGAAACCCGGACTTTTTTTCGACCCGAAACCCGAAACCCGACCCGAGAAATTTTTGAAAACCCGACCCGAAACCCGACATTTTTCATGGAATTCTATTACATAAAAGTAAGATTTTTGGCTCTTTGGCCTTCTAAAATCCGCAAAATTTTCGCCTGCGGCGCTGAAAAAGGAAGAAATCTGGCTTCTTGGCCTTTCAAAATTCCCAAAATTTTCGCCTGCGGCGCTAAAAATGGAAGAAATTTGGCTTCTTGAGCTCCAAAATGTGGAATTTGGGCACTATATTTAAGTATCAAGAGGGTTTGTGGAGTTATCTGCGGGAGGTATCAGGAACGAACACACCCCTAAAGACGGTTTTTTTAGATTTTTTATTTTTAAAAATCACTATCTCTTACTTCGAAATAAAATTATTTTAAGGGAAAGGAAAAGAAATATTTATAATTTCTTTCATTGGTCCTTTTGTTGGTCGGTGGTTGAGTGGTTATGTGTCTTACTTTACTCACCTACAAATTTTGTAGTGAGGGTTCGAATCCAGGGCGGGATATGAGCTAAGAAATTTTTTTTTAAAATGTTCTAAACTTTTAAATGTTCTAAACTTGTTCTAAACTTTGACTTGAAAAACCATTAAAATTTTAATTTAGTCATGAATTTTTGAAAATTTTCGCCTGCGGCGCAGAAAATGAAAGGAATCTGACTTAAGGACCTCCAAAATTCTTAAAATTTTCACTTGCGGCGCAGGAAAGTACTCTATTTTTAATTCCAGATACTTATAATGCCTTTATATCTGTCTTAACTCCCAAATCCCCTCATATTATTCTTAACCCATCCAAATCCATTTAATCTTTGTTATTTATTATATCATTCTTATATATTCTCTTATTAATCCCGCAAATCACTGATATCCCCCAACCACTCCGAAAAATTTGGCTACTTGGTCAAATTTTTAACTGACCCGACCCGAAACCCGACCCGAGACCCGAAACCCGGACTTTTTTTCGACCCGAAACCCGAAACCCGATCCGAAGAAAATTTTGAAAACCCGACCCGAAACCCGACCCGACTTTTTTCTCAACCCGGCCCATCCCTGATGTACAGTTAGTATTTGGCCTTTTCATCTTTAGCATTTCTCCAAATTTTATTTCATTTCACCGAATTTCATTAAAAAATATTTTTTATAATTATGAGAATGTGAATTAATTTTTACTATGTATTAAATTCTGGGGGAAGAGGAGGGAGGGTGGAAGATGAGTGGTTGAAATAAGTAGAGTTGGGCAAAACGATACTGGTATCGGCCAACCCGAGACCGAGATTGACCGATACTCAAGAACCCGATACCGAGACCGATACCATCATTTTGAGCCGAGACCGATACCGAGAAACGATACTGACCGAGACTAACAGAAATTTTTATTTTATGTCAAAAAATACGTGTAAAAATAATTTATTCATTATTTTCATCTTCCAAATCATTAGATAAATACTCTTCATCATCTAGATCCGATTCGATTGATGGTTAACATCCTTTTTTATAAAAAATTAAATAGTAGGATTTATAGTCCACCTAATCCGCCATTAGCTTTCCAAATATACCTATATCCGCCTTAATCGAGATCCCTCCAAATCCATTGATATCCCCTTAATAACTCAAATCCATTCAAATACCCCAGTATTGTATTTAAGCCTTTTAATTTTATTAAATTACTGGGACTCAGTAGAGCTAGATAAAACGGCAACTCTCGTGCAACTCATTCATAGGGCTCAGTGAACTGCTCGGATTTTTTAAGGCAAATAAAGAAGGATTCACTCTTTTCAGCGCCGCAGGCGAAAATTTTTTGAAATTCAGAAGGCCAAGTGTCAAAAATTTTCATTTTTATTAAAAAATACAAGAAAATTGGGGTCTTTGAGTCAGTATCGTTTCTCGCCGAGAAATGGACCGAGAATATCGGTATCGGTTTCGAGACCGAGAATGAAAAAACCGAGACCGATAGTGGAAAAAAGCCGAGAATCTCGGTATCGGTCTCGGTATCGGTCTCGTCTTGTCCAACTCTAGAAATAAGTAAAAGAAAATACCTTAATTTTTATTTTAAAGGACTAACCAATTGGGCCCATGAAAAAATTTGGGGACTTGAAAGTGCTTTTATCAGTAATCCAGCTTCAATTGTATTAAAAAACCAATTATTAACTAATTATTATAAAGAATATTTATTAGCCGAAACAAATAAAAAAGCAAAAGAAATTAAATTAAAAATATCATCAACAACATTTCTTTCTATAATTAAAAGATTTTTGGATTATTCTTTTAATGATAGATTAACAGAAATTGAAAAAGATGAATTGAATGAATTTTTAAAAGATAAAGATGAAATTATTATAACTGGAAATCAACAAATTATAATTGACAAAATAGATAAATACGAATAGTTTGTGTTTAAATTCTAAATTTGGTTATTATCTGGTTATAAAGAATTTTAGTTTTAAACATTTTCCAAATTAAAAATTAATTCGATTTAATTTTTAGTAGAGATTTTTAAAGATTTTATTAGTAATTGAGTGTCTAATAAAGGAAATTTTTTTGGTTAAAATTTTAAAGTATAAATTCTCTAACCAAACTTTTGAAAATTCACAATTTTTTAATTAAATAAATTTAGTATAAAGAAGGCAACAATACGTTTCGGATTAGACAATAATATACTTTGTCATATTATTCACTTATTTGAACAGTTAAAATTTGAAATTACAATTATAAAAAGAATGGGAGAAAAAGTTATTATGAATATGTTTATTTGTGAAAAAGGAGAAAATATTGTTAATAAAAATGAATATTTAAGAGAAATAATTACTGAAGGAAATTTTAATGAATTTTATTTTTCTGTTATGAAAAATGAAAATTTTTTAGAATTTCTTAGGTTTGGGAAAATTAATTTTATTTATTTAATCTTTTAAAAAAATTTTAGAACAGAAAATAAAGATCAAATTAAGTTATTAAAAATTAAAAAAAGATTAGAAAAAATGTTTGGATTGGCTAGAGTTGCTATACTTTCTGAAAGATTTCCTGAAATTTTTGGAAATACAAGTAAAAAATATTTTAATTTTTTTAAAAATTAGAATTAGCTCTAAATAAACTTTAATACGCCGAAATTTTCCCTCAAAAGTCTTAATATCTAATTAATTTTAAAATATTTATAGTTGAACTCGAAAAAATAATTATTAAACTTTTCAAAATATATTTTACACCAATACATTTTCTTGAAAATAAAATAGGAAATGCTTATAAATCTGAATGGAAAACTTTAATTGTTTTGGATTATTTTATTTATATGGAATGGGAAAGAAAAAGACTTGAAGAAATGTTAAAAGAAATTGAAGGAAGTGAAGGTATTTTTAGTAAAAATTTTTTTGTTTATTTTTTTTAGATGAAAAGTTGAAAATTGAAATTATTCAAAATATAAAAGAATTTTGGAAATTAATTCAAATTAATTTTTGGGGAGGAGATAATATGCTTAATGATATTGTTATAAAAGGTTATAAATGGATAGAAGAAGACTTTAATATAGAAATTGAGGTTAAAAATTAATTAGTATTTATTTGTTCATCAAATTTTAAAATAATTCTTTAATTAAAAATCACAAGCAAAAAACAAAAAAATCGAATCAAGCCGGTTCACAGTAGATATTAGCCAGACTTGGAGAGTGCCTCTAGGAAAATTTTTGAGGACGTAGCGACATGGAAGGGGAGGGGGTGTCCCGTCGCCTCTGTTTAGGGACAGGAACAGGGGATAGATTGTATAAACTTTTATATAATAAAGTGAATTTGGATTTTCAGATGGCGAGGAAGTAACTAAATTTAATACACAAAATATAGTACTACCTTAATTATTGTAGCAGAAAATTATTTTTTTAGAAAACTATACAAAATTTTTACATTAAAAAATATTAAATTGTTTCTTAAAGTTAAAAATAATTTAAATATTTTTTAGAATTTATTTTTAAATCAAAATTCAATGTATTCAATGAACGAAAGTAAATTTTTATTTCTTCAAACGGCAAAAAAATGTACAGAACAAATTTTCGATAAAATAAAAAATATTTCAAAAAAATTGGCAAAAAATAAAATTCTTAGAAGTAAAGGAAAAATTGCGGAAAAAATCATTGATAATAAAGAAAAGGCAATTAAAGAATTAAAAGAATGTATGGGAGATAATTTAAAAGATAAAAATAAACAAAAAAATAATGAAGAAAAACAAAAAATAATGTATAAAAATAAATTAATTGAATTATTGCTAAATGATTTAAATGATGAATTTAAACAATATTTGCAATGTGAAGCAAATTGTAAATTTAAAAAATTAAGACTAATAGTGCAGTGATTTTACTATTAAGACTAATAGTGCAAGAAATTTTAAAACCATTTCATTTTATTTCAGTTTTTCAAGATTCCTATTGTCCAATTAATCTGAAATTTTTATAGAAAATTTATAGCCTGTCCGTCCCGATAATTTGTTTAAATTTCATTAAATAATATATTAACACAAAATATTAAAAAATTTTATAAAAATTAAATTCAAAAATAGGTATATCAAAACGATTTATTTGACCGTTTTGAGACCCTTTATCTCGTGTCGGCCTCGAGACCCATTACTTTGAATGAGCTATTATGTGCATTTTCGAATTTTTCACCCCAAAAATCAGCTCCCCCTTATGGTTTTTCGATTTCCAGGGGCCTGTATCTCGGCCCATAAGTAAGTCCCGAAGCTAATTTTAATGCCATTCGACTCAGCTCTACAAGCTCTTCGAAAGACATTGGTTGTCCAAATCATTGGTTGTCCAAAATCCGATTTTTCCTGAATAGCCCATCAAAAGTTGTAGGACCCTTCCACAACTTTCCAAGGGCTCCCGGCCTTCGGCCGGGAGCCTGATTTTTTTTTAGTTGAGATGCAAGATTATTATAATATAATATATGGGAGATATAACGGAATTTTTCCGCAATTTTTTGTTAATATTTAGCAAATACTCTTTTATTTTGGGAGCGTTTTCTTATCAAGCAGATGTGGGGGATAATCTCAGAAAATCCGATACTTAAATTGAATTAAAAATTTAATTAAAATATTTCTAGCATTTATTGTTAAAAAAACATGTGGTTTCAATTTAAATCAAATAATCAAAAATGCTGAAGATAAAAAGAAAAATAAAGAAATAAAAGATAATTTTGAGGTATTTTTTTACACAATAATTAATTATATAATTATTTTAAGGAAGTAAAAAATGCTGAAGAAATTTATGAAATTTCGGAAATAACCCCCCATAAAGAGGAAAACCTTCAAAAAGAAATTAAAAATAAAGGAAAGAATGAATTAATTGAGAGTAGTCCAAATACAGGTACATTTACAGGTTTTACCTTAAAAATAAAAATAATTTTTGAAGAAATATGTATAAAATATTAATTTAGGTATAGATAATAAGTAGAGATAATATATGTTTCACTTACCCCAACGCCTTTCAATTTCGAGTTAAATTATCATTTTTTGAATAAATTTTTATTATATTATCTACATTTTAAATAGAGAAATTAATAAGATACGTAAATGCAGTAAAACTGGGGTTTTTCCGACATCCCTCCTCATCAAACGAAGTTTTAGGGAAACGTTATTTTATTTGGTACTTTGTTTTTATAAATATTTATCCCTTGATCGGTTATATAATTTTATCCAATCCGAATTTTTTTTTATTAATTTAAGGAAATAAAAGTAAGAAGCAAATTTCACCTAAAAAGAAAGAGAAATATATTTCCTCAGTAGATAAAAAGAATAAAAATGAAGAAGGAAAGCAATTACAAATTGAGATGAAAAAAGAACCAAAAAAATTAGAAAAAAATAAACAAAAAACACCCACCACCATTACTACAATAACAAATATAGAGGAGGATAAAATAATTAATGAAAATGAAAAAAATTTAATAAATATAAATTACGATATTTTACTTGAAAGAATTATAAAAATTTTAAAAGAATGTAAGTGGTTCTTTTTTTAAATTTTTTTCTAAAATAAATAAATCCCTATTTTAAAGCAATTTATCATAAACCGATAGAAAATTTAATTAAAATATATAAAGAATATTTAAATTTTAAATCTAAAAATAACAAAAATGTTGAGAATATTATAAAAATAAATATTTTAATTGTTGCAATAAATGAAAAATTAAATTCAAAAGAAATTTTAATTGAAGAAAATTTAAAAGAAAAATTTAAAAATATAAAAATAATTTGGAAAAAATTAAGAGAAAAAATTATTAAAAAATTAATTAAAGAGAAAATAGAAGGAGAAGGAGGAGAAAATAATTTTAAAATAATTTTTAATTATTTATTTAAAATATTTAAAGAAATAAAAAATTGGGAATTATTAAATAAAATTTTTGAAGAATTTGAAGAAAATTATTTAAAAAACGAAAAAATATATAAGTATTTAAATAATTAATTTTAAATTAAAAATAAATATTTTTTTTAGAAAAAATAAAATGTTAGAAGAAGGGATAAATGAAAATAAAATAAAATTATTTTCAGAATTACATTTACATTTAATTTCGTTTTTATTTGCTAAAAATTTGATTGAAAATAAAGAAGAAATAAATTTTAATTTAAAATTAGAAAAAATGAATAAAGACCAAAAATGGAAATTAAATAATTTTGTTAATCAAAAATTGGAGAAAAATATTTTTTTGGAGAAATTAGAAATAAATATAGAAGGAATGAAGTTTATGTTAAAACAAAAAATATTAGGTAAATAATTATTCTTATCAAATTAACATAGATCCCGAACCGAGCAAAAAATTACATTTTTGTTTAAGTGGATATATTTTAAAAGAATTAAACAAATATGTAGAACTAATTAAAAAACAGGTACAAGAGAATCTGAATCCGCATTCAATCCGCAGTTGCGGATAGTCTGCTTGTGTTTATAAACTTATCTAAACAGCTTTTAAATTAATTTAAATTAACAAAAATTTTAGATGAAGATTGGATTGAAAAAATAATGAAGGAAAATACTTTTGAAAACAAAATAAAACCTCCAAAATTCCTTTATCCAATATATTATGAATATTCTCAATTTGATATTTTTGTTGAAAATACAAATGAAGATAAGGCTAGATAGTTTATTTTGCTTAAATTTACACTAATCCACAAATGTATAGACCACCATTATTTTTACCGACTTTAATATAACAACCATTCATTTTATTTTTAAAATGTTTTAAGTTATTTCAGATGTGTTATTAGAAGCTTGACTTAATTATGAGCCTGGTTTTTGCTATTTTTATAATATTATAATTTTGTTAAAACCCTCGAGGAAATTAACTTCAACAAACTAAAATTTTTATAAACTTATTTTTATCGCGATATCTATCTATTATTACAAAAAAGTTTAAAAATAAAATGAATTAGTATAATATTAAAGTCAAGAAAAATAGGGGTTAGTGAATAAGTGTATGTAGGGGAGGAAATTTATCTTAAAGTTTCAAAAAATATTTTTGCAGAAATTTAAAACTTTATTCTTTTCAGTTAAAGGAAATAATTGATAAAGAATATATAATTGAAGAAAATAAAACTAAAAATTTTGTCTTAAATTTTTTAGAAAAAGAAATTATGGAATGGATAAAAAAAGTAAAACAAATGAAAGGAATAAATGAATTTAATGATGAAAATAAAGGTAAATTTTAAAAAATATTTTTTTTGGATTATAATTTTTATTTAAAGAAGATTTTCAATTAAAAATTGGAGGTTCTCAAATATTAGAAACAAATACTTCTTTGTCAGATATGGATATTTTATGTATTTTACCGAAATATATAAATATTTATGATTTTAATGGACAAGATGAAATCCATGGTCTATATGGACGTTTATTGTTAAATAAGGTTTTTCTTTAATTGAGACTTTGTTAGATAGTACTATAAACTTTAATCCTATTACTTAAATTTTTTAAAAATAATTTGAAGTTTAATTTCTAAAAATCTCAACCATTTAATAAATATTTAAATATATATTAATTAAATGTGAAAATAACAATTATAAAAATATGTCCGATAAAGTTAATTTTTTAACCTGAGACCAGAATTTTTTGGATTTAGAATAAATAAAGGGCATATAATTTCGGGCTTTTAATTTGAAAGATAAAATTCCAAAGAGGGCTTTTCATGAGAGAGGAAGGAGTCAGCTTTTTCAAAGCAAGCCAATGTATACTACTTTACGTACACTTCGTTTAAAACTATCGAATTTGGAACGCCGGTTCGATCAGCTCGTCGAGTTGCATCGAATACAATAGTCTATTATTTTCAAAGAAATAAGTAACCTGGCCTCGAGGTACCTTGGGGGAAATAGTTCTACACATCTTTTTCTTCTTTAATTAAAATAATCCAACAAATTTCCGAAAATATATTTAAAAATAATTAAAAATTTAAAAATAGAAAATCAACGTAAATATTGTCCAAACAAGCAGAATTTTGATGCTTGAATTAAAAATTAATGGAATTGATGTAGATTTAATTTATGCACAAATTCCTTTTAAAAATGTAACAAATAATTTTGATATAATGAATAATGAAATAATTGAAGAAAATAAAAATAAACAAAGTATTTTAGCATTAGCAGGTTTAAATTAATTAAAAAAGAAAATAAAAATTTTTTGTTTAAAAAAAGGTTTTCGTTCAACAATAAAAATAAAAGAAATGAATTTAAATCAAAAATTGTTTATTTCATTAATGCGTTTTTTAAAGATTTGGGCAAAAAGTACATATTTTTCTTTTTAAATATTTTAATTTTTAAATTTAAATATAGATCGTTTAATTTATTCAAACATTGCTGGTTATTTAAGTGGTTCTTCTTTAGCTATTATGTCTGCAAAAATATGTATAATATATCCAAATGCTAGTTTACCAATTGCTATTAAACAATTTTTTATTTTTTATAAATTATGGTTATTTTTATATTTCAATTTTTGGAAAAATATTTCTTTCTTTTTTAGGGGTTGGCCACAACCAATATTATTAAATGAATTGGAAAATGAATTTAAAAAAGCTAAAGAAATTGTTGAAGCTTGGAAATGGATTAATAAAGAAGATAATTCTGAATTTGAGACTGAGTAATTCTGAATTGAATTTGAGAACGCCCTTGATCAACCAACTGCCTTTCTAATCAACTAATTCCTTTTCCACTACATACCGCATTTCCTGAAATAGTACGGCCGGTTTACTATTTTTCAACCCTCATCTAAAGGGCCATACTAATAAAGTGTGCCGACTATTTCAGGAAATGCGGTATGTAGTGGAAAAGGAATTAGTTGATTAGGAAGGCAGTGGGTTGATTAAGGGTGTAGTTTGGGGGGAGTGGCTCTTTTTCCCGATCTTTCCTATCTGGTTCAAATCACGCCTTAAAATAATTAAATATTTAAAGTTCTGAAACTGATTCGAATGATGAATTATTAGAAGAAGAAAAAGAAGGAAATGATGGGACACAAATGTCTATAATTACATCTGGATTTCCAGAACAAAATACAACATTTAATGTAAATAAATTTACATTCAGAAGAATTATTGAAGAAATTGAAAGAGGTAAATTTAAATTTAATTTTTTAAAGTATTTTAATTAAATTTTGGTTATTTTCAGTAATTATTATTCGGAACATTTATTTTTGTCTAAAAAATTTCTACATTATATTTGTGCAGAGTAATATATTTAGATCACCATTCTCATTTTTTAAATATTTATTGTTCATTAAAATTTCAATAATATTTCCAAAGCTTATTTTAGAAATATAAATAATATAATAATTTCCCCATTTTTAAAATTTTATTTTACTGACCGTTCGTTTTTGACAAATGTCCGTGAATCCGGGGTATATTACAGTAAAATTGGACTTATAAAAATAAAACTTATTTTCTTAAGCAAATCTCATACTTGACAAAATATTTTTGGATGAAGAAAATCAGAAATTAGTAGAGGAAAATATTTGGGAAGAATTAATTGAAGAATTAAATTGGCAAAATAATTATGAATATTTTATTTTAATTTTATGTAAAGTAAATGAAGATGTGGTAAAAATAAATATTTAAATTTAAATTTAAAAAAAAAATAATTTTTTCTTAAGAATTGTAATAAACAAAAAGTTTTATTACGTACATATTTATATAATTGGGAAAAAGAAAATGAACAAAATAATTTAATTGAAGAAAGTCATTTAATAACAAATTATGAAAAAAATGTTAAATGTTTTGATAAAAATAGTAAAAGGTTTTCCCCTCTAAAAATTTAATTTTTAAATAAAATAAAAAAATTTAAAGAGAATCATCATTAACTTTTTGTAAATTATGGATTATTGGAGTTAATTTAAATTCTTCTAAAGAAATAAATGATAATCAAATTGAACAACTTTTAAAATTTGATAATATATTTAAAAATTATTTAACAAAATCTGGATCTGTATATTCTATATTTACAAACAACAAAATTGATTTAAATAAAGAAATATATTAAATAATGTTTTTTGAACATGATTTGGAAACAATTGTATTTTTTATAGCAATTATATATTTTTTTATATTTTTTTAAACAATTATATTTACAAATATATTTTTATGTACGTTTATCCTCTCTAATTTAGCAGTGAATACCAAATTTTATAAAATTTTAAATATAGAAACATAAACAATTATGTACCGAATTATGATTTACTAAAACTATCAAAACACTATTTTGTGAAGAATCATAGATAATGTTTCTATATAATATAGAATTTGGTATACTACCGTTAAATAAGAGTAAATATGTACACAATATGTACCAAAGATTTTTGATTATGTAAATACAAATTTTGCTTTCAATGATAATTTTATTCTCTTTATATTTTTAAATATGTATGTACTGAAACATATTTTCTCGTGTAATTTATCTGAATTTACCTATGTATCCATAAATTATTTGATAAAAAAATGTTTTTAATCCTATATATAACAGAATTATACTCTATTTTTTAAAATCACAATTAATATTTTAACAAATTATATATCAGGGATGGGCTCTACCAAATTTCATTTTAAATAAGGAGCCAGAATCCTTCCTTATTTAGCGGTGGGGTCGAAAATTAATATTTTTCAAAAAGTCAAAAAGTAAATATTTAAAATAATAAAGGCTGTCATTAGGGGGTGTAAATCAGAGGAAGAGGGCAAAAATACGGAAGCGGAATACTGAAAGGTCAGAAATAGCTGAATTCTGCGTAAAGCGGAAGCGGAGGCCAGTCTATCTCTGTTATATATTTCTAAATACTTTTTATTGTTTATTTCAAAATTTATTTTAAAATTTTTTTATTTAAAAGATGCACTTTTTATGTACTTTTTATTTATTTTTTATATTAAAACATCGATAAACGTGACAGCCAATACAAGGCTAAAATTAAAAAAAGGGCATTTATTCGAGAGAATTTAAGGAAATTAATGTTTTTAAATTTTATTTTTTTAATTAATTATATTTTTGGGTAAAATTTAGAATTATTTATTAAATTTTTAATATTTATTTAATTTATTTTAACATTCTAATTATTTTTATCAAACTCAAGTTGTCCATAATTAAATATTTATTAAAAAATAATTTCATAATTTAGTTGTGAAATGAAATATTCATTAATTTTCATTTTATTTTTCTTAATATTTTTGCCCTCAAATAACAATGGTCATCCCCTGAAAGATTATTTTCGTCGTTAGTTTTTTTTAATTTCAATTAAATTAAAATTTTTATATTAAGGAATAACCAATTGGGCCCATGAAAAAATTTGGGGACTTGAAAGTGCTTTTATCAGTAATCCAGCTTCATTGGAATTAAAAAACCAATTATTAGCTAATTATTATAAAGAATATTTATTAGCCGAAACAAATAAAAAGGCAAAAGAAATTAAATTAAAAATATCATCAACAACATTTCTTTCTATAAATAAAAGATTAATGGAAAGATATAATGAACAAATTGATTTTTTAAATGATAAAGTTTCAGCATTTGATTTTAATGATAATGTTGTTGAAATAAATATATTGGAATATTATGAAGGGTTAATATTTTTAAATAATTAAGAGATTATAAAAATTAGAAAATCTAACTCACATAAACATATATATCAGGACTGGGCGATATCTAAAAATAAAAGTGAAATGCGAAATTAGCCCAGCTCTGATATATATAGTAGACTATCTGAGTAAAATTTTGTAGAAATATTGGAGTTATTAAGTAGGTTTTTACTTAATATTTCTTAAACATTTTTATTTAATAAAAAAATTTTTTATTCCGTAAAAATGATGAAAACAAGATACCCATACATAAAACTTTAATACCTATATATACAATCGAATCTCGATTTTGGATAAATTTTTTGTTGAACATAAACTTTGTTCATTACCAAGGGTGTGTAATATTTAAAATCAAGATTTGAATGTACATACTTATATTTTAAATAATAAGATATATTTATTTTAATTTTCCGTTAAATTTAGAATAAGAAAAGATATATACATGAATGGACCAAATAACGATAATCTTTGCTGGCTTGTTCAAGTTTTTGAAAGATTAAAATTTAAAATTATTGTTGTAAAGAAAACGGGAATTATATCAAATTTAGCCGTTTTTGAATGTGACAGGGGAAATAATATAGTTAATCAAGATGTTTATTTAAAAGAATTAATTATTGAAGGAAATTTCATAGAATTTTATAATTCTGTTATGAAAAATAAATATTTTTTAGAATTTATTAAAAATGAAATTGTTGAAAATAAAAATGAAATTAAGTTATTAAAAATTAAAAAAAGATTCGAGAAAATGTTTGGATTAGCTAGAGTTGCTATTCTTTCTGAAAGATTTCCTGAAATTTTTGGTGGAAATTTTGTGAAACTTGATAATATAATTATTGAATTATACAAAATAAAATTTACTCCAAAAGTAGTAAATACAATAGATTGGAAAAATTGGAATGTTTTAGATTATTTTATTTATAAAGAATGGGAAATAAAAAAACATGAGGAAATATTAAAAGAAATTGAAAAGAATGAAGGTAAGGTTATTTCCAAATATAAAAAATTCCCTAAAGATTAAATATTTGCGATCTTGGTTAGTTTCTAAAATAATACAAAAAGAAAAGATTTACAATAAAAGTAGGGCCGTCAGGCCTGACAGGACAGACAAAACCCCCAAAAACAGACGAAAAGAACCCCTAAACAATTAAAGTAATCATCAATTCTTTATTTTTTAGATAGAATTTTGATAAAAGGAACAATTAAAAAGATGCAAGAATTATGGAAAAATATTCGAATTAATTTTTGGGGAGGGACTAACATGGTTTATGAAATTTTTGTGAAAGGTATTAAATGGACAGAGGAAGATTATATTAAAGAAATTGAGGTAATAATTGGAGATAAAATTTATAGTGACAAGAATATTTCTAATTTCGGGAATCTGTTCAGTTAGATTCCGTTTATGGAATAATAATAGTATTTACTTTTAAATAAACATTCAATTTTTTCTTAAAAATAAATAAATAATAAAAATAAATATTTACATTAAAAATAATTTTTTGAACAATAATTGTTTTTATTTTAACTTTTAGAATTTGTTTGTAAACCAAAATGAAATATATCATCTTAATATGAGCAAATTTTTATTTCTTCAAACAGCAAAGGAAAGTACCGAGGAAATTCTACTAAAATTAAAAAATATTTTAAAAAATTGCAAAAGAATTAAAGATTCCCAAAAAAGAAAAAAATGTATTGAGAAAAAAATTAATCCAGAAATAGCAGTAGAAGATTGGAGAAGATATATGGAAAGAGGTTTAGAAAATAAAAAGAAATTAAAAGATAATAAACAAAATCAGAAATTAATGCACAAAAATAAATTAATAGAATTATTATATTATGATAAAAATGATGAATTTAAACAATTTTTGCAATGTGAAGCGGATGGTAAAATTAAAAATAAATTTAAGAATAAAAAAATATTTAATCATTCCTTTGTAAATTTGTCCCGACAAAACACCATAAATCCTCTAGTAAATTAAGACAACTTACTATATTAAAATGGCATAATATAGTATAACAATTAAATTATTAAAATTATAATAATTTTTAAATTAAGCAATTGTTGTCAAGGAATTTTGTAATTCAAATATAAGCGGATTAATTAAAACTGCTGAGGAAAAATTTATTGAAAATAGTAAAAAACAAAGTGGAGAGCCAAGCCATAATTTTAAGGTTTCCAAGAATAAAATTAATTAAATTATTTATAAATACATTATGTGAGAGGCATTTTCAGAAATTAGGCGAGGACCAGAAATTTTTGAAATCACAATCCCGGGAAAATTGAGTTTATGTAGGTTGTTGAGTATATTTATTAATTGAGTTAAATGCTGTTCAAGTTATATATCTGATTGAAGCCCATACGGCCTAGAATTTTTTGAATCCCATGTCTATGATGGCAAACAAACAAAACTCTATTTCATTAAACATTAATATTTATTTTTTAAAGGAAACAGAAAATAATGGGGAAATAAAAGAAATTGTGAATATAAATTCTTCTATTGAAACACAATATTTTCTTGAACAAAAATCAAATAAAGGAAACGATAAATTAGTTCAAATAAATGAAAACAGCCAAGATGTGGTTGAATTTACAAAAGGTTTGTAATTGAGAAAAAGTGACAGAAACCTGCAGAAAAAATGTTCAGTTCGCTACCCACTTGTCCGAAGAGAAATACCCCCCCTCCCTCTTCCCTTTAAAATAAAAAAAACATTTTTTAGAAAAATCAGATAGAAAAATTCCAACGGTTAAACACGCAGCTAGGCGGAAAGAATATTTAGATTCAGTAATTCGGAAGAAAGAAAATAAAAAAGAAAAGAAAAAACCAAATAAAAGTTCAAAATTTGTAGAAACAGTAGACGAAGAAATAAAACCTTTAATTAATGATAAAAATGAAGAGGAATTTGAAAATGAAATTGAAAAAAATTTAATAGAAAATAAAGATGAAAATATTAAAAATGATGATATTTTAATAGAAAATATATTAATATATTTAAATAAAGAAGGTATTAAATTTTTCAAAAATATTCTTAGGAATTTTTTTATAAAAATATTATTTTTACTAGCAAATCATAATCAAATAATTGTTATTCAAATGTTTCTTACTTTTCTCCCAGTGGTATCTACCTCAGTGAACAGCTTTTAGTGAAAATATTTGAACATACATACCTAAGTTCAATATTATCATAATGTAGGGGGGTGGGTGGTAAATAAATGGAAAAAATTAAATGATAAACGAAATATAAAAATATTTTTATCAAAATATATATTTATTTGTTTAAATTTTACTAAATTTATAGAAAATTTAACTCAAATATATAAAGACTTTTTAAGTCAAAAATTATCAAAAGATGACAGAATTATTGATATTTTAAAAATTTATGTTATAATTATTGCTATAAATGAAAAATTAAATTTAATTGAAATTTTAATAAATAATTATTTAATTGAAGAAAATTTAAAAGAAATATTTAAAAATTCAAAAAAAGTTTGGGAAAAATTAAAAGAAAAAATAAATAAAAATTTAATGATAGAAATTAACGATACAAACAACGAATATAGTAATATTAATGAAATATTTGAAAATCTTTTTAGAATATTTAATGGATTAACAAATTTTACAATTAATGAAAGTATTGAAGGATTAAATAATTTTGAATTAAAAATGTATATTTTTATTTTATATAATATTTAGTGTTTATATTTTTTAACTTAAGAATTTTTCACATTTTTTGCCTAAAACGAGTTACCTTTCTATATCTATGTAATATTTTATGTTATGTCCGTGATTTGTTTACGTAAACGAGAGCACACAAACACGACAGAGCAGGATATTAATAATAGCAGGAGATATTTGTTTAAACAAGCCTTTCATAGTTAATCGTTAATATGCCTTCCCAAACAACATTTTTTTATCTTCCACGTTGTCCAATCTTCAAATTAATACTAGTCTGAACATTCGGGGGCAGGTGAATTTGTTTCGGAACAAAGTTCGAGTGAATATATGTTGGGGGTTTAAGCTTATTTAAATTAAAAATCCAACTAATTATTATATTTATAAAATAATAAAAAATTAAAAATATTTTGTAGAAATAATGGCGATATTCAAATGAATGAAATTAATTCAATAAATAATATAAATTTATTTTCAAAATTACATTTTCAATTATTTTCTTTATTAATTACTAAAAACAATAAAATAATTGAAGAAAAAAATGAAAATTATTTTAATTTAAAAAATAATAAAATATGGAATAAAATAAGTTTAATTGATCCTCAATTTAAAAATAAAAGTTTTCAAAATAAATTTCTTTGGCAGATAAATGCTATGGAATTAATGTTGGAACAAAAAATTTTAGGTAAATAATAAAAAGGTCTTGAATATTTTTAACCCAAATTAATGAGTGATCTCCAAATATACAAAGATTAAAATGTAGTTTAGCTTTAAAACAATTACATAAAAATCCTTTAAAAGAAAAATTGTACATAAATAATTTATTTTTCTCCTTAAATAATTAAAGACACGTTAATCACAGATCACGCAGAAATCAAAAAAATTTCGAAAAATCATCGAAAATTTTGTTCTCGGGTAATATTTATGTACACGTAAGGGTACTTTTGAATTTAAAAAAGCGTAGTAACATTATTCATAAATAATTTTGGCAGCCTTTAATTAAAAAATAAATTTAAAAAAAAGTTATTAAAAATTAAAATATTTTAGATGAAATTTGGATTAAAAGAACAATAATTTACAATAATAACTCTAAAAAAATAAATCAAAGAAAATTTCTTAAACCAATATATTACGAATATTCTCAATTTGATATTTATGTTAATAATTTAATAAAACATGAAAATAAGGTTAGAGATTTAAAAAAAATATTTACAATAGTCTTTAAAAATTTGAAAAAATTAAATTATTTTTCCCTAAAATTTAATTTTTTTTCAGTTAAAAGAAATAATTAATAAAGAATATATAATTGAAGAAAATAAAAATAAAAATTTTGTTTTAAATTTTTTGGAAAAAGAAATTATGGAATGGATAAAAAAAGTAAAACAAATGAAAGGAATAAATGAATTTAATGATGAAAATAAAGGTAATTAAAAAAAATATTTTTTTGGATTATAATTTTTATTTAAAGAAGATTTTCAATTAAAAATTGGAGGTTCTCAAATATTAGAAACAAATACTTCTTTGTCAGATATGGATATTTTGTGTATTTTACCAAAATATATAAATATTTATGATTTTAAAGGAGAGGATGAAAACTATGGTTTATATGGACGGTTATTGCCAAATAAGGTTTTATTGTGATTATAAATTAGGAGTTAATCAAAAATTCTCTACCATTCAATATTCAAAATATTAATTAAATGTGAAAATAATAATTTTAAAATATAAATGATAAAAATTATTTTTCATTCGGGTGCTGCGCACTAGGAAAGACCATTTAATATTCAGTTGCATCGAAGAAAAAGTACACTTCGTTTAAAACTTTGAATTCGGGACGCCGGTTCGATTTAGCTAGTTAAGTTGCATTGAATACCATGGTCTATAATTTTCAACGAAGTTATAGCTCTGCGGCTGCCTGGCCGTGAGGTACCTTGGGGGAAATAATTCTACACATCTTTTTCTTACTTAATTAAAACAATCATAAAATTTCTAAAAAAATATTTAAAAATAATTGAAAAATTTAAAAAGAAAATCAACGTAAATATTGTCCAAACAAGCAGAATTTTGATGATTGAACTAAAAATGTATGGAATTGATGTAGATTTAATTTATGCACAAATTCCTTTTAAAAATGTAACAAATAATTTTGATATAATGAATAATGAAATAATTGAAGAAAATAAAAATAAACAAAGTATTTTAGCATTAGCAGGTTTAAATTAATTAAAAAAAATAAATTTTTTGTTTAAAAAAAGGTTTTCGTTCAACAATAAAAATAAAAGAAATGAATTTAAATCAAAAATTGTTTATTTCATTAATGCGTTTTTTAAAGATTTGGGCAAAAAGTACATATTTTTCTTTTTAAATATTTTTAAATTTTAAATTTAAATATAGATCGTTTAATTTATTCAAACATTGCTGGTTATTTAAGTGGTTCTTCTTTAGCTATTATGTCTGCAAAAATATGTATAATATATCCAAATGCTAGTTTACCAATTGCTATTAAACAATTTTTTATTTTTTATAAATTATGGTTATTTTTATATTTCAATTTTTTGAAACAAATATTGTAAAGCTATTTAATTCCTAAGGCTGTGTAGTAGACGGCGTGGTGTAATTGATAACACATCAGTCCGATCTACTGAAGATGCTGGTTCGCTCCCAGCCGACGAATAACCTTTTGCACTAGCTAAAGGAGAGAAATAGCTATAGCCCAAATCTGCTTTACTATATTTCTTTCTTTTTTAGGGGTTGGCCACAACCAATATTATTAAATGAATTGGAAAATGAATTTAAAAAAGCTAGAGAAATTGTTGAACCTTGGAAATGGATTAATAAAGAAGATAATTCTGAATTTGAGACTGAGTTTAGAATTTTTTGAAAATTAATTATAAATCAGCTAGGGAATAAAGGGAAAACGAGGAGGAGAGAACTACGCCCTTGATTAACCGACTGCCTTCCTAATCAACTAATTCCTTTTCCACTACATACCGCATTTCCTGAAATAGTACGGCCGGTCTACTATTTTTCAACCCTCCTCTAAAGGACGTACTAATAAAGGAGGCCGTACTATTTCAGGAAATGCGGTTAGTTGATTAGGAAGGCAGTGGGTTGATTAAGGGTGTAGTTTGGGGGGAGTGGCTCTTTTTCCCGATCTTTCCTATCTGGTTCAAATCACGCCTTAAAATAATTAAATATTTAAAGTTCTGAAACTGATTCGAATGATGAATTATTAGAAGAAGAAAAAGAAGGAAATGATGGGACACAAATGTCTATAATTACATCTGGATTTCCAGAACAAAATACAACATTTAATGTAAATAAATTTACATTCAAAAGAATTATTAAAGAAATTGAAAGAGGTAAATTTAAATTAAAATAATTATTTTTGGGTTGTGAATTAAATTATCAAAGTAACAGTTTTTGAATTGATTAGTAATTTATATAAAATTAAAATTTTGTTTATTATAACAGTTTTTGACCAATTTTTTAAAATTATTTTTGATTACTTTATCTGCAAATAACTAACTTTTCAACAATCAAAAATCCTAATTAATTAGAAATAGGGGGAAATAAATATTATTAAATTAAAAATAATATTAAAAAAATTAAATCTAATTATTAAGCAAACGAAATAATAAATAAAACAAATAATGAACAAGAATTAATTTGGGAAGAATTAATTGAAGAATTAAATTGGCAAAATAATTATGAATATTTTATTTTAATTTTATGTAAAGTAAATGAAGATGTGGTAAAAATAAATATTTAAATTTAAATTTAAAAAAAAAATAATTTTTTCTTAAGAATTGTAATAAACAAAAAGTTTTATTACGTACATATTTATATAATTGGGAAAAAGAAAATGAACAAAATAATTTAATTGAAGAAAGTCATTTAATAACGAATTATGAAAAAAATGTTAAATGTTTTGATAAAAATAGTAAAAGGTTTTCCCCTTTAAATATTTAATTTTTAAATAAAATAAAAAAATTTAAAGAGAATCATCATTAACTTTTTGTAAATTATGGATTATTGGAGTTAATTTAAATTCTTCTAAAAAAATAAATGATAATCAAATTGAACAACTTTTAACATTTGATAATATATTTAAAAATTATTTAACAAAATCTGGATCTGTATATTCTATATTTACAAACAACAAAATTGATTTAAATAAAATGTAAATTTACTAAATTAATTTTAAATCCTATTAAATAATTTTCAGGATCGAAAGCTTTGACCCCATCTTTTAGACAGTTTTGTTTTTATTCAGAAGTCGAAATTTCTCCTAACTGAAAATATGCCGTAATTCGTAAATTGTAACTGTATTTACGACGTAGCACTAATGTTCATTTAAAAAACCCTTACATATTGTCGCCTGACTACGGCTTTATTTCCGAGTCCTTTATTATTAAAAACACATCCTTTCTTATTATTTAAAAGATTAACAAAATTTGTATTTAATTTTTTAAAAATTGTATAAATACCGTAAAAGCTCTAATAGTATAAGCCCTAGCTTATATTTTTAATAAATCACTTTGAGGTGTCTTATATGAGAGATGGTTTTATAATAGAGCCGGGCTTTTATTAGAGCATTTACGGTAAATAATTCTAAAAAATTGTATTTTGTATTTAAAATTATATTTTATTAAATAATTGTTGTAGTTAAGCTGATTGATGACTCTGAATTCTTAATAGTTGATTTTTAGGGTAGCGAGATATCGATAGTGAAATGAAATATGGGCTTAGTTCTTTTAATTTTCTCTTATTATCGATCAATATGCCTGCTTGAATTTTTATAAATTTTTTTTGTTTTTATTTTGGAATCAAAATCTAGTGAAACACGTGTTTTTGGGTATTAAATATAATAAGGGTAAAATATAAAAATATTTGAAAATAATCAGACACATTTAGTGTCATTTTATAGAGAACACTTGTAGTTAATTTTCAAAGATTTAATCCAGCCCATTCATTGAAAATTGAAAGAAAAATTATTAATTTAATTATTTATTTAGAAAAAAATGTTCCAAACTTTTGCACATTACTGTATATTCTACGTACTCTGAAACGTCCCACTCTTGCCGTTCTCTGACTCGGCTACTCTGAAACGGGCTTTACCGAAAATGTAACTTTAGAGTATAACTTTAGAAAATATAACTTTTAGAGTAAAATTTATATTTTATAATTTAATTAATTTTATTTCACAATTTTTATTTAATTATGACTGAACAAAATCACAATATTGAAATAAATTCCTCCTCTGCTCCAACTGAAGGGATTTCGGTAAAGAATTCTTTAAAATTTTAATATTTTTTTTATTTCATTTAGTCTGAACTTCTCATAAATGTTATTAGAACATTAACATCAACTTCATCAGATGATCAGCGTCAATTGGAGAGAGAACGTATTGAACAAGGATATCAACAATCTGAGAAGGTTTTCTAAAGAAATTTATTTTATTTAAATTTAATTTTAATTTTTTAAAGAATATTGACAAACTTCTTAGAGGTTTATTTATTTATTTAAACTTTTATTTTAAAATTTTGTTTAGTTAAAAAAATTTCTTAACAAAGTAATGAAAATTTAAAAAATAATTGAAAATTTTAATTTTCGAATTTAATTAAGTTCTTACCGTTTTTGTCCACCAGAGGAATTTTGTGTTTATTTTTAAATTTAAAATTAATGTCTTGAAAGTCTAAAAATAATTTCAAAATTAGTAGAAAGGTTGGTGTTTCCAGTCCCCCTTTTTTCCTCCCCAAGTTTTGGGTAGAAAAAAGGGGGACTGGAAACTACCGTGTCTGATAAATTCGACAGTGACTAAATTCGACAGTGGCTAATTTCGACAGTGAAATTCGCCAGTGACTAAACTCGACAGCGACTAAATTCGACAGTGAACTATTTTTTCTTTTTTCACCGTTTTCCTCGATTTTCGACAGTGATTAATTTCGACAGCGACTAAATTCGACAGTAAAGCCTAATTTTTAAAAAGTGCAGATAATTAGAGAAAAAAGTGAAATTTTCGTTGAAGGTAGATTCAAAGTCGCCGATTCTGCATCCCGTGTTGCTGCGAAACAGGCTAGTTGAGCGCGGTTAAGTGAGTGCCAACGAGCTTTAATCGACTATAACTTTTTAAGCTATGATCCAATTCTAGTAAATAATGTATGATTCGAAAGCCCTCGATAAGCGGCATCTTTTTTCCAACTGATTGGATCAAATCTGATCAATCATTAAAAAATTATAACGCGATAAATGTGAAAAATGCCAAATAATTGCATCTTTCAGTTCGTAGTTTTTATGTTTTTTATGTCGAGTTTAGTCACTGGCGAATTTCAATGATTAGGCTTGATCTTTCTAGTTGAAAAAATGATATCCCCTATTGAGATCTCTCTAAATTACTGAAAATTTTTTATTTTTTTTCTCTAAGTACTCACTCTTTTTAAAAATTAGGCTTTACTGTCGAATTTAGTCGCTGTCGAAATTAATCACTGTCGAAAATCGAGGAAAACGGTGAAAAAAGAAAAAATAGTTCACTGTCGAATTTAGTCGCTGTCGAGTTTAGTCACTGGCGAATTTCACTGTCGAAATTAGCCACTGTCGAATTTAGTCACTGTCGAAATTATATAGCACCGAAACTACACTATTACCGAAAGGTTTTTTTAATAGTTTTTTTTCACTTTTAAAAAAATTTGTGGGAAGATTCTGAACAATTAACAAAATAAATTAACAAAAAAACAAATTCTAGTTAAAATTAATTTCTTTTTAGAGCATCGTGCTGATGTAATGCAATGTTTAAATACTTTTCAATCAGTTTCTCGTTCACTTACAAATAGTCGAGAACAAATTCGAAATGTTAAAAATTCCCTTTCTCTTTGTAAATCATTTTTGCAATGTCGACGGGATGATTTAAATAAGTTTAAATTAATATTCTTTTTTTAATTTTTAATTTATTTTTAAAAATAGATTTTGGCTTGAAAATGCTCATCAAAAGTCTGTTTGTGGGATTTTACGGCAAATGTATTTCTTTTTAAATTTTAATTAAAATTAATTAATTTTTGAGGAAACAAATAAGGGATATTGACAAAACAAACGAAACTTTACTGGCAAATAGACAATATGGAGAACTGGCTAAAGTTTTGAAGGATGCTGGTTTCTTTTAAATATTTTATTTTTTTTAAATTAATTTTTTTAAAGATATTCTTCTAAAAGGACCTTTGTCTAATCTTGAGGGAATTAGTCAATTAAAATTTATTGTTTCAGACAATTTACAGGTTAATATTTTATTGAGATTGGCTAATAACTTGTTAGCATTTATTCTTTTGTTACAAGTTTGAGTTGAAAAAATTTCATAATTTTTATCTTAAAGTTTTTTTAAAAGATCTTATTGGCTAAATTAATAGAAATTAAAATTTTCCTTATTTTTTCTTTTAAATTTTTTTTGTTTTTAAAGAAATTATTCGAACATGTTGTAAAAGAACTTGTACAAGGAAGTTTTGTTGAACCTTTCGAAATTCAGGTTTTTTTCTTTTGCCAATAAATAATTTAACTTTTTTTAAAATAGATGCTTTCGTTGGCTAAAGATGACAAATTAAAAGAATCTAAAATTGGTTTATCTTTAATTGAACGTTATACAAAAAAGAAAATGTTTGTTTTTTTATTTTAAATAATAATATTTTTTTAATTAAGTTCTCAATTAGAGGATGAAGAATTTTTGAAAAAACGTTATTTTGAACTTTTTGAAGTACTTTCTGTTTTTGGTCAAATAGATTCTGCTTTAAATTCTTTATTTACCCAAATCCCTAATTTATTACTTCGACTGGCTAATGAAACAGCGAAAATGATAATTCAATCAAATAGTGAGGGGAATATTGGATGTCCAAAAGACAGTGAAAATTTAGTTCAATTTGTTAGAATTGTAAGTATTTTAAAAATTTTATGTATCTTTTAAAATTTAAAAATAAATAATTATCCATACGTGGGAATTTCTAAGGAATATAATAAAAACGGTGTTTTGAAAGTAAATTTTTTGTAAGGATATTCTTATTTTCTAGCTACGCCGGTGATATGTTCTATAAATATGAAATTTTAAAATTCTTTTTTTTTAGAATTTTCCATTCTCTTTCTCTGGTTTTAAGTTTAATATCCAATAAAATTTACACTATTTTAGTTAAAAAATTTTGGAAGTAGATGATTTAAAAAATCGTCAAAATTTCCCAAAAAAATTTCAGTTAATTGCCCAATTAAGTGGGTGTTCCCGACAATTTGCTATTCTTTCTGGAGAACTTCAACAAGTTGATTATACTCCAAAAATACCAATTTTACGGCGTTTTTGGGCAATTTCTTTAGAAGGAATGGAAGAAATTTTGAGTGAACATTTAAATGTTTGGCGTAATAAAAAGCGCTCAGATGATGAACAAGAAAGTGGTGGACAAAAAAAGTTATTTAGTTTTGAGAATGCTTCTTTTGTTTCTTATGTTAGTGCATCTTCTAGAAAAAAGGTAAATTTATTAAAGAATCGAAGTTTTGTTTTACTTTGGGATATAGGTAAATATTTTTTGTGTACAGCCCAAGACAACGCGCGGCCATAACAACGCAAATCCTTGGTTAGTTGAAAAATTTCTGCCCCTTATCAATTTTCGTACCAATCTCTTTAGCTCGAGGACTGGAATCGTTTGATACTAAATTTGTTAAGATTCGGAAATTTTGAGGCAAGTTATGGCTTTGCGTTGTTATGGCCGTGCGTTGTTTTGGGCGTGTCCCATATTTTTAATTTTTTGTTCTATGTTGTATGAATTAAGAATTTTTAAAACATTTTTCTTTAATGCTCTTAACTAGTATTATATCTTATAACAAACTATTAGCAAAGATAATTTCATTTCTTACACTTTTTTAGCAAATCCAACTTGTTTGTTCTCCAGATGTTTACAATATTGTTCCAATTTTTCATAAAATTGCAATTTTTAGTCGGGAAATTGAAAATCAATTGGGCGATGATTGCTGGTATTTTTAACTTTATTCTTAATTTTTTTAATATTTTAGTCAAATTGGTACTTATATGCAAACTTTTGTTGCTGAAGCTTTCTTTGAACAAATTCGGGTTGATTTAGAGAATCAGACAGAAAAGGCGTTAAGTGGGACTGAATTATGGGCAACAGTTTGTGAAGTACCTGGTTGTCCTGTGGTAATTTTTTGAATTCTTTTTTGTTATATTATGTCTACTTTAAGAAAGTGCTAAATAGTTGTGTTCGAATAGCGGAGTTGTGTGAACAAATTAATGATTATATTACAAATATGGAACTTTATGCTCTCAGGTTCATTTAAATATATTTTTGATTTGTTTCATTCCCTTCATGTTTTTTAATTTCGCTTTTCAATTAACGCAAAAATTGCCTATTTTTGCTTATTTGAATCCCTTCTATCTGTGTCCTTATAATTCATTACAATTTAATTTTTTTAGATTTGCTTCTTTTTGGATATTAATTCTTGAACATTTTATCAAAGCAGTATCTGAAAAATATTCTCAAGTTTTTAAAAATATTTTTTAAAAATTTAAAAATATTTATTTACAGATAACAATGCTTCGACAACCCCAAGGAGATGTTTTAGTTGAATATCCTAAATTAAGTGCTGCTTGGGTTGTTGATGAGGATATTGCCCGTTTATTAAAAAGTTTGCCAAGTTGGACTGCTGTTCAAAATTCTTTATTTTCTTCTTCATCTGAACAAATTTCAACACCTTTTGGCACTTCTTCAAGTCTTTTTGGATTAATTGAAAGTGAACAAGAAATTAGAGAAAGAACACAACGCGAATCTGAAATTTTAATTGGAAATTTGGGAACTCAAAAACAATTAAAACAAAATGAATTAATTACTTCTCTAGATAATATTAAAGTAAATAAATTAAATATTTTTTTTTCGGAATCAAAAAATATTTTTCATTAAAGATTTTGGCTTATTTGCATGAATCACTTCAATGGTTTATTGGAAGAATTAAAGAGCTTCTCTCTGGATTATCTCCAAAAGCCAAAGAATTAACAAAAACTCGAATACAAATAAGTACAGCTGATGGAGTTCTGTTGGAGCAGGTTTTTTATTTTGAGTTTGACTAATTTATTTTTTTAAAATTTAGATGCTTTGTGATGCAATAAATGATCGAATAGGAACTTTAGAGGTGAATTTTAACAATAACACGACTTGGGGTTTTAAATTAACGAGTATTGGGTTTGAATTATTTTGAGCAGCTTCAAATGTGGAAAGATTTTTAGAGAAAATTGTTTAGAAATATTTTTTGAAATTAATCAGGTTTTGCTATGAGTATTGCAAACAAAATACTTTGAATAATAAAAATTTCAAACAAAAATTGTCTACACATTTTCGATAATTCCAAAAAATGTTATCTTCCTAAAATGAATAGATTTTTTTGGAATTATTCAAAATAAATTTATTTTGACTACATTTTTACTTAATTTTAGTTTAAAAATCAAAATTAATTTTTTTTAATTTAAAGAAATTATCTGATAGTATTTTATTAGTACTTCATTTGGAATTGCGTTTTCATTGTTTTTTCCATTTATTACCAATTACTATAAATCAAAATTCTTCAACAATATTTACTCAACAAGAAGAAATGGACAAAGACGTTATGGAATTTGGACGTGATTTGACACAATTACATTCAATTTTACAATCAAATCTTAGTGGATGGAAATTAAAATATATGTTTGATGGTTTAGGTTATTTGTGTTCTTCAATTTTTATTCATTCTTGGTAAACAATTTTTTTGAAATTCTTTTAAAATTTAAAAAATTTTTTAGTCATTCAGTCAATAAACTTTCTGAAATTGAACATAAAAGAATTTGTAGAGCTATATTTACTGTTCAAAAATATTTAAGTCAATTATCGGGGTTTGCCTAAAATAATTTAATTTTAAATTAAAAATTATTTTTTTAGAAGGCCAGAAACAGATATGCAAAGAGCACAAATGTTTTTTGAATTTTTAAACAGAGTGAATTTATTTAAGAATAAAGATTAATTTATTTTTAAAAATCTAGGATCTTGATCAACTTTTCTCTACAATAATTGAACGTGGTGCTACATTTTCTTTTGTTGAATATTCAATTCTTTTGGCTTTAATGATACGTTCACACCCGCAATTACATTCACAAGTAAAGAATTTTTAATAAAAATTATTTTTAATTTAAAAATTAATTTTTAAGCCCGGTGCATTGGAAACAGCAACAAAACAACTAAGAGAAATTCTTACTCAAAGATCTAATCAACATGAAAAATAAAATTTTTAAATTAATACTTTTTAGATAAAGGTCCAATATGTATTTTATTCACACAAATTACTGTTCCGTGTGTTTGTCACTTTTTATTCGTACAAAAATTTTAAAAAATAATCTTTATTTAATTTTATGTTTGCATTTGTACCTAAATGAACTCAGTTGTGCTTATCATTTGACAAAATAAAAGAATTTCCATATTGCTTTTTTTGTTTGAATAAAAAATAAAAATGTGTTTTCGCAAATTTTTGATATAATTTTTTAGTAGTTTTACTTGAAAAAGTCTAGAGGTGCCAAAATAAGTACGAAAAGAAGCCCTTTAAATTATTAAATGTTCTTTTACTGTAAAAATGCCAAAATTTTAAATTATGTCAAATCTTGCAAAATTTCCCTTATTTGTTCGTACGGCTTTTCTACATCCTCTAACCAAACTTTGACAAAACGTATCAAATCTGAATCTAAAGCGGTTGTTGTAGGTGGTGGGATTGTTGGTTTATCTACACTATATCATTTATCCAAAAAGGGTTGGTCTGATGTTTTATTACTTGAAAGAAAAGAATTGACTAGTGGATCAACCTGGTATGTATAGTTTTGAAAATACATTATTCTTTCTAAATACAGACAGTATGGGGGGTTACTTTATTCATTTATGTATAGGTATGTATACAGATCTAAAACAATTTTTTAAACCTCACCAAAAAATAATACCTCAGTCTACTTGATTTTAAATTTTAAGGCATGCTGCCGGTCTTCTCCTAATTTTTAATATCAACTACACTATCGGTCAACTTCACAAATATTCTGTAGAAATGTATCAAAGACTAGAAAAGGAAACAGGCGTTGATATCGGTTTTAGACAATGTACTAATCTTCGAGTAGCTTGTACAAATGACCGTTGGGATGAGTATATGTATTATAAGGGTATTGCTGACACAATTAATGTCCCAGTTAATATACTAACAAAAGAGGAAGTTAATTTTTCTTCAAATATCTTCATTGTATTTTTTCTTTAAAGGTTAATAAATTATGGCCTATTTGCAAAATTGACGGTATTTTGGGAGGAATTCAGCATCCAGATGATGGATACCTCCAACCTGCAAATTTGGCACAAGCCTTTGCTAAAGCTTCTCGGGATCTAGGAGCTACAATTTATACACAAACCCCTGTAATTGATATTAACCCTTTTTATGTTGAAAGTTAACGATATAATTGTATAAAAATTAATTTGAAAAATTTAGATTCTAATAAAAATAAATGGTTAATTAAAACAAACAGAGGTAATATAATTACTGATCATGTTATTACTGCAACAGGAAGTTTTGCAAGAAAAACTGCTAAAATGATGGGAATTCAATTACCTGTATTGCCAGTAGAACATCATTATTTAGTTACAGAACAACATCCAATTTTATTAGAAAGAAAGAAACAAGGATTGCCCGAATTAAGTGTAAAAATTATTTTTTTTAGAAATAATTACAAACAAAATTTTTTGTTTAAAGATATTTAGAGAAAGTGATAATTCTTGGTATATTCGGGAAGAGAATGGAGGCTTTATTGTTGGTATTTATGAGAAGGGAGCACCAGCTTGTTATTTAGAAGGGCCGTCTGAAGATAGTGAATTTGAGCTTTTTCAAGTAAAAAAGAGTTAATTTAAATGCCAACTATGACGAAACCTTTCCATGAGAGACTAAATAAAGACATCCCCAATTCAAGAATTTCCCTCCTCAATCATTTAAATCGTATATTCCTTTCAATCATTTACCTTTAGCCATGCATGGAACGAATTATGCCACATATTGAGAGGGCAATAGATCGAGTGCCTGCCTTTGGTGAAGTTGGTATCAAAACAATATATAATGGTGCAATTCCTTTTACTCCGGACGGAGTTCCTATTGTTGGGCCAGCTCCAGGACTTTATAATTATTGGCTTAGTGAAGGCCATACGTTTGGTATTACAGCAGCTGGAGGTGCTGGATGGCAGTTAGCTGAATGGATAGTTACTGGTGAACCAAACATTGATATGACGAGTTTAGATCCACGTCGATTTGGGGATTATGCCTCACATAAATGGATTCAGTTAAAGTGTGAAGAAGTTTCTGAAAATATCTTTACTATACATTACCCTGATGGTAGTTTTTGATTTTTATATCAAAGTGACGGGCAAATATTGGGATGAGATTTATCACAAAGGAGGAGGGGGGAGTTGCTTAGGTTCTCTGTAAGAGTTTAAACGCTTTAGTGAGATTCATTATTATTATTTAGAAGAAAGGTCCGCTGGCAGACCACTCTTAACATCTCCTTGTTATGAACGTATGGCTAATTTAGGAGCAGTTTTTGGTTCAATTTGTGGATGGGAAAGACCTAATTGGTAACTATATAATGAAATTGACCTTAAATTATTAAACTCGCCTCAAAAGTATTAAATTATGTATTATCATTGGTACTTGATTAAATAATTTTGCTCATTGATGTATTAAAGTCGAATCTCGATATAGATAGTATACTCCACTAATAATGTAAGGGATACCCTTACTTTAGTGTATAAATGCTAATTTTACTGCTCAATTTTTTCAACTACACTATTCGAGATCCGACCGTATCATTTAAGGTTTGTTCCTTCTGAAACATATAAATTGGCAAAAGAAGAATTAGGAATTGGCGTGGATGTTTTACTAAATAAAAATTGGTCAAATCCACGTGAAGAGAATGGCCCTATCGTAGAAAAGTTGAAAAAATTTAAGAAATTTTATTCAATTTTTTAAATAATTAGATGGTCTTTTCGCCGCTCTAATTATTTTGAACATGTTGGAAACGAAGTTTTAAATGTTCATAAAAATGTTGGTTTAATGGATACTTCTTATAATGCAAGATTAATTGTAAAAGGTCGAAATGCAAGAAAATGGTTAAATTCAATATTTACAAAACCTTTACCTGAAGAAAAAGGCAAAATACAACAATGTTTTCTTTTAAATAAAAATGGATGTGTTATTGCTGAATTTACAGCTTATGAATATATTAATGATTGTTTTTATTTAATTTCTTCGGGTAACTAAATTATATATTTAAGATCAACTTGATTTTTTTTAATTTCAATAAATATTTTAAATTTAAGCTAAAATAAATTAATAAATTCATTATTTTTTTATTTCCCTACGCTGTTTATGTCTATGATATTTTGAGGAAATTACTTCCGGTAAATGAAAATGTTCAATTATTTGATTGTACAAAAGAAATGGGTATTTTTATGTTAGTTGGCCCTAACAGCTCTAAAATTATTGAAAAACTTTGTCCACAAATTAATTTATCTGAAACATCTTTTCCATTAAATTTTGGACGTAAAATTTGTTTGGGACATTGTTGGGTAGAAGCTTTTCATAAAAATTATTTTGGGGAAATTGGATGGGAATTACTTCATCCTTTATTGATGCAAAATACTTTGTTTGATTTAATATTTGATTCTGGTGAAGAATTTGGTATTAAACCTTTTGGAGTTTATGCGGCAAATTCTATGGCTGTTGAAAGTAGTTATAGGTAATTTTTGAATTGTTAAAAATTATTTTCCTTATTTATTGGGTACAGGGAGGAAAACACAGGGAGGGAATACACTGAGAAGTCGGGTTTTTGCGTCGGGGTTTTGGAAATTTTTAAGTCGAGTTCTAAGTATGTATAATTTTTATTTACATACATTTACTATATTTTTAAAATTTATTTCCATATTTATTAGACAAATTAAACACGAATTAACCTCTGATTATAATCTTTGGGAGTGCGGATTACATGCTCATGTCGACGACCTTACTGACAATAATCGAGATTTCCCTGGCAAAAATAGTCTTATTCATTTGAAAAATAAAGAACGTTGGAAATTTATAACATTAGAAGTGTTTGGAGTAGAAAATGTAGATGCACGGGGAGGAGAACCAATTTTTGATGAATTTGGTCAAAAAATTATTGGAAGAGTAACTAATGGTAGTTTTGGTTGGATAATTAATAAAAGTTTAGCTCTTGCTATGGTTAATCCAAAATTTGCTGAAGAAGGTTGGATTATTTAAAAAATTTTATTTTTAAATTTTAGGCACACTTGTTAAAATTAAAATTCTTGGAAGGTTATATTCTGCAATTCAAATACATGAGAATCCTTTTGAAGCTCAAAAATCTTCTTTTAAATAAATTTAATAACCGTAAAGAAACCGATATTTTTTATATTTAAATTAATTTAAAAATAAATTATTATAATTTTTGTTTTTATCCTTTACAAAGATATCTTAAAAATTATTTCTTTTTGCATATTTTTAATAATAAAACTTTTAAAATTAAATAATAAGAGTAAAATCAGTACCTATTAAATAATAAACTTTCCACATAAAACTCTAATTTTATGTGATATTGTGATCCTGACTAAAATTGATTTCGACTCTTGACTCAAATTAGGCGAATTTTTCCTCAGAGAAGGATGGCCAAGCATAATTAAAATAGAATAACTTTTTTTGTTTATTTCTTTTTTACTTCAAATCCTTTTTTGTCGTCATAGCAACATTCAGATTCTATTAATTTTTATAAAATTTTATTTCAAAAAACTTTAAATATTTAAATGTTATCCAACAAAATTTCTTCCGACGAATTTACTTCTTCTTCTAATTCCTCTGAAAATAAACATCAAACTTCAAATATTTCCAATAAAAAATTAATAGAATCTAATGACAAAAACCGTCAGAGTATATTCCAAATCCAACCATTAAAGGAAGTATTTACTGACAAAATTGGATATTTATTTAATCATGGAAAAAGTAAAAATGTAAAAAAAGAAGACAAAAAAGAAATTTTAACAAATAAAAATGAAAATTCAAATAATGAACAAAATTTAAATGAAGAAATAAAGGTAAATAAATGAGAAGAAGGAATTAGTTTTTGTAAATTAACCTTTTAAATAAAAAAAAGTTTAATTTTTTTATTAAATTATTTATCTCCATAAATAAAATAGGTACTATTTTTAGCAGTAAAATTATTAGATTTTTTTATAAAATTTTTAATTAATAAATAGTCAATAAATTATATTTAGAATAATGAGGATATTAAAAATATTAAAGAAGAAAAAGAAGGGGAAATACTTCAACCTTCTTCAAGTTCAACCAAAGAAAAGCCATTAGAATCTAAACCAAAGTAAAATATTTATTTTTATTTAAACTTTTTCTAAATTTAAAGAAGACGTTTAAGAAGACGTGGATCTGTTGTTCAACCAATAAATAATGATTCTGTTGAAATAACTAAAAATAGTTGATATTCAAATAATTTAAAAATATTTATTTATTTTAGTTGATATAAATACAATATCCAACTCTTTTTTGGTACGTCCACATTCTTTAAGTGCCAGACATATACAAAAACCTTTAGAGCAAAGTCAACCGAATGAATGGATTTATATTCAGTTACCTGATCGTTTGTTTTTTCTAAAATAAAAAATTATATGTGTAGACGAATTATGTTTATTACCATAAGGAATTAAACCCGAAATGGAATATTATACCCGTTCTTTAAATTTGTTAATTTTTGAATTAATGTTTAAAATTTTCCTCTTCAAAAATTCATTGCAAATAATTCAACTAGTTTCCTTGGTGTTTCATAATCTATCCCATAATTTATAAAAAACGACTTTTTCGTTTGAGACTGGGATTCTTTTGTATAATCGGGATATTTTGTAAGGAATCTCTCCACAATTTACATATATTCCCAGCCGCGCTGGGAATATATTCTAATGGTAATTTTACTTAAAATCAGGTACATTTAAAAGAACAACGGAAAAAGATTTACAAAATTGTCAACAAACTTTGGACAAACCAACAGATAATTTCGATATAAAAAATTACCCTTCAGAATTATCTTCTGTTATATTTGCAAAAAAATTAAATTCCTTATTTCATTCAATTTCAACTATTTCCCAAGGTTTTTAAGCAATAAAAACAAAAATTAAAATAATATTTATTTATTTAGGATTTTTGGCCGGAATTGCTTTTTCTCATGCAATTTTTATTTTCCTTTTTTTACCAGAATTAAAGGGACACGAAAATCTAGTAAATATTTATTCACAAATGGCTGTTCCAATACAAGCTTTTTTCTATATTTGTCTTTCAATTGCAGTTGTTGATGCTTTAGATGGGTAAAAAATTTTTTTAAATTATTTTTTAGAATTTTAAATTATTTTTTTAAAAAAGATTTTCCCCTTTTCCTCAAAATAATTTTTGGGATTTTATAAAGAATTCTTTATTATCTTTTAATTTTATTGGTATTATTTGTTGGTTTTGTTCATTTTTTGTTTCATTGTTGTGTGCGCAATTAGACGAAGAATTTGCTAAAAATGGAGTAATTCAAAAGTAAATTTAAATAAAAAAAATTAAATAAATAAATATATTATTTTTTAAGTAATTTAAATAATAATTATTTCCTTCCCTCTTCTACTTCAATAATTATTTGGAAATATTTGAGTATAGTTAGAACTATTTTTATATTTATTGGTTGGATTTTAACATTTTGTAGAAAACCAAATAATTATATTACTAATGAATTAAATAAAATATTATTACAAGAAGGAAAGATGGCGGAAATAAATAAACAAAATTTGACTAAATATTAAATTCTTTAGTAAATTCTTTCAAAATTTAATTTAATAAATATTTTACAAAAAATAAATAATTATAAAAAATTAAAAGCTTTTTTCTTCTAAAAATAAATAAAAATTATTTTTATTTTCACTTTTTCTTTGATTTATTATAAATTAATGGAATCCAGCTAGAAGGGTAATTATCCCTTTTATATATTGAATTACTAAAATCTGCATCAAAATAAATTTTTGCATTTTTTTGTTTTAATAAATAACCAATCCACCATCCAAATGTTGAGGATGATGATGTTATTAACAAAGTATTACAAATTGTTATGGCAAAGCACATATCTTCCCCTCTTTTCATTGATTCGGGAATATATGCATTTTTGGACTTTTAATTAAAATTAAAATATTTTTATTTAATTTAAATATATATTACTTTATTTGTAATTTTCAATTGACTTAAAAATACTTTGTCTTCGCCAAGGAGAACAATAGATACTCCATTAGTATTTTTGGACTAGAAAAATTAAAAAAAATTGATTTTTTTCTTAAATTTGTTAATTAATAATGTGCTTTACCAAGGCGAACAAAAGATTACAGCGGCGAAAATTTAATTAAGAATGAGATAACTTTAATGTAGTTACATTCATCCTTATCCGATCCTACCGCGTTATAAAAACTCTACCGAGTAATGAATTTTTGAAAATCGAAAAGCACCCATCATTGCATACTTACCCCTACCCGAAACTATTATTAAATATTTTGATTTTTTCCTCAACATCCTTTTTATATACCTGTAATTCGTTTTCTATAATAAATTCTATTGCTTTCTCTGTAAATTCTTTATCAGTAGCTTTGTGCCATTTTTTCCATTCTGGCTTAGTAAAATCGCCACGGCGAGTAAATACACAAAATTTGTGGGAGTTATCATCTCTAAAAATTTTTAATTTATTTAAAACTCTAGTCTTTTCAAAAATATTCAAAAAAAAAACAAACTTAAATAAATTTTCAATTCGTTTGTCAACCCTTCTTTGAACACTTTTTGAAAATGTAAATAATTCTTTAATTTCATTCTCAATTTTATCAAAATATTTTGGTGATTGAGGCGGGGGTGCTATTATTAAATACTTTGATATATATTTATTTAATATTCTAAAAAAATTAAAAAAATATTTTCTTTTATTTTTTCTAACAAACTTTGGATTATAATATTTACAACAATCATCTTCAAATGTTCTATCATAAAAAGAATTATCAATTCCCTCAACATCCTTTTAATATAAAATTTTTGTTAATTTCATAATTATTTTTAATTTACTTACAAAAAAATATCTGACTGCATGAAAAACGGGAAAAGTATTTTCAATTTCTCGCGGACTGTTAAGTTTTTCACATGTCCATGTATTTGTATATGAAATACCCGGAAATCTACCAATTGATTTGGCTAAACTGTAAAGAACTGCAAAACGCCACATCTAAATAAATAATTAATTGAGAGTTTATTAATGTTTGGATATTACAAAATTTGCTCATACTCATACACAATTCTTACAGTCCTTATTTTCTACTCGTGCTTGAGAAATATGAAAAAATGGTTTGTTACACACTGTAGGGGTCTAAATAAATGGCTAATAATTTCAAAAGAGTATCTTCTAACCTAAAATCGCTCTTTTTTAATTTGAAGTCTAAACTTTTACTGTAGATTTTAAAGTAAATTAACTTTAAAAAATAATAACTTGATTAGCAAGTCCACCACAATCCCCATTCCAATATTTTGGAATTTGCATTAAAAGATATTTTGTTTTACTATTATTTGGTGAGGGAAATGATTTGAGTAAATGATGTATTTTTATTTTTTTATTAAAAATAATATTATTTGATTCATAAAATAATAATTGTTTGATTTTAGAATTTTGTATATTTTTGTTGTTATTGTCTTTAAAATTAATTAAAATTTTATTTAAAATTTTTTAAATTTTAATTTAAAGAAAATATTTTAAATAAATAATCTAAAATTTGAAATTTTTTTAAAATATTTTTATTTAAATAAAATATTTAATTATTTATTACTTTCTCCATTGAAGAAATCTGCAAATAATAATATTACAAAAGCAATTAAAATTAATCTTATAGTTTTTATTATTCTTCTTACAAAATTCATTTTAATAAAACCTAAAATTTAAAATAAATATTTTTATAAATTATTTAATTATGTTTTGATTAAAATTGACAAACCTTTTCACATTTCATAATTTTTAGCACATTTCATAATACTTTTCACATTTCATAATTTTTAAATAAAAATAATATTTATAAAATAACAATTATTTAATTAAAATATTTAATTTTAATTAAATTTATTTATTTTTTATAACTTTTCAAAAAATATTATGGATTAAGATTTAATTACCTAATTAATTTATTATATACAAATTACATAAAAGATGAAGACAAAACATCATAACAATTAGCAGAATGTCTGGCGTTAATAAAACATCAAATTTTTTTCTTTCTATGGAAAATTTTTGTTTTTTATTCCTCATAATTTTAATTAAAATATTAGATATTTATCTTTAATTATGTTATTATTTTCATCTAAATAATTAAAGATTAAAAAAATTAAAGTTGATTTTATCGTTTTTTTGGAGGGAAAAGGTTTTTAAAATTACCTAATTAATAATTAAAAAAAATAATCAGAAAATTATTTATTTTCTAAAAAAAAACTCTGAAAAAATAAATTATTTTTTAATAATTATTTAATTGTTTTAAATTATTTTTTTAAATTTAAATTAATTTTTTAAAGTTTTATTTTATAAAAGAAGTAACATTAAATAAATTTAAATATTTTTTGACGGAGATTAGAACGATAAATGAACAAAAATTAATTCTATTAAAGATTTTCTTTTATTTATTCAAAAAATAATTGCAAATAATTTTTAATTTCTTTAAAAGATCATCAACTAAATTTAAAAAAATGTCAGAATTAAAAACCTCAAAAATATTTTATTTATTAATTTTTTTAATTTCAATATTTATTTTTGTTTTAATTATATTAAAATATATAAGAGAAAGTAAATAATTTTGTAAAAAATATTTTAAAATTAAATTTTAGTTAATTCTAATTCAATAAATGATCAAATTACTAAACAATATGGAAGTAAAAAATATATAACTATAAATTTGGAGACATCACAAGATTGTTGTGGAGGACTAGGAAATATGGTGCTTTTTAATTTCTAAGAATTATACTAATGGGGGTTGTCCTATCTCTTCATTTCCAACATATTTCTGCTTTTCTCACAAAATTGTACGACTTAAACATTAACGCTCAATCCAAATGTTCATTATTAATGAGTCCCTTTCAGTGGTTGGAATTTTGAAATTTGCTCGTACTAGTACTTCGTACACAGGCACGAGTATACGAATTTTGATACGAGCTTCCAAACACTGGTCCCTTACTAAATATTTCAAATAAAAATCCAAAGATGTGGAGAACAGCCTCATTACTTGGAATTGGGCTAACTTTAAATAGAACAGTTTATTTTGACAAAACTCATTCATGTTATTATCAATATAAAGAGAAATATAAAGAAATATTTAATAATAGCTATCAAATATTTAAATTTATGGCAAGTATTTATTTTATTTAATTAATTAAAATGAAAATATATTTACAGAATCCAAATCCAAAATTTGTCAAAAATGTGGTTTTTGCGGGGCCTTGCTGTAAATTTGCAGATTTACATACGTAATTAAAAAGGTTCTGATAACGGATATGATTATATAATTTTAAAATAATTTTTAAGTTTTTTGTTATTAAACAATAATCCTTAATCCGTTCTCATTTTTATTTATGTTTTAATTTAAAAAAATTTTTTAAGTTTAAATAAAAGTAAAGAGGCAATAATTAAAATAGAAGGAAATTATCTTCAATCTTACAAATATTTTAATAATTATATTGGAGAAATTAAAGAATTTTATAAATTTAAAGAAAATATTAAAAAAGGAGGGGAATTGATTGCTAAAAAATTATTTGGGTATTTAAATAGAAATATTAATTAAATTAATTTTTTAAAGAAATGGAACAAAAGATTTTAAATTTTGTGTTCATATAAGAAGGGGAGATTTTATTAAAATAGGGCAAGCAAGTAGAAAACAATTTACAAATAAAGCAATTAATTTTTTGATTCCAAAGTTGGAGGTAAATAATTTAAAATTAAAATATTTTTAAATTAATTTAGAAAAAATTTAATCGAAAAAATATTTCAATTGTTCTTTTTGGGAAGGATAAAAATTTCATAAATGAATTGGAAATTGATAAAAAGGTAAAATATTTAAGTAAAGAGAAAATTTAAAATTATTATTAAAATTTTTTGCCAAACACGAAAAATAATTTTATTAAATTATGTAATAATTATTTATTTAGTATAAAATATATATGCCGGAAATTAACAATTCAGGAGTAAATATGTATTTTGCAATTAATTATTGTAATGCCTATTTAATAACAGCATCATCATCAACATTTGCTTGGTGGATTGGATTTTTAATGCCAGAAGAAGTTCCTATATTTTATTATAATTGTCATTTAGAATGTATACATATAAAAAAGAAAGATTATTTTTTACCAAAATGGAAAGGAATTAATTATAATTATTTGGGAAAATTAAAATTTGTTTAAAAATATTTTTTAATTTCTTACTAAATTCGTATTAGGTCCTACCTCAAAATTATTATTTTATTTATTTATTTATGAGCAACCACACGGTATAAAGAATATTTAAAAAAAGATTTGGAAATATTCTTTTTAATAATTAAAAAAATTAACATTTGTTCTCTCCATTTAATAGTTAAAAAATGATATAATTATATTAAAAGACTTGTTCTCGACCGGTTTTTTAACCCCAAATATTTTCCAAAAATTAACCGGTTCAATTAAAATATAAAATTAAAACATTTTTTAAATTTTACTTAATCAATTTATGTCTCTATTAATTTAATTATAAACTTTTTTTAAAAGAAAATTCAAGTTTATTTTACTTATTTTGTTAAATTGTCGCGCATTCCTTTTAAAAAGTGTAAAAAGAAAGAAAAAAAGAAGAAATGTCCTATTATAATTATTTTTCTAATATTTTAAAATCAATGCTCTTAAATTTTATTTTTTATTTATTTATATTAATTACAATTGATGCTATATATTTAAAAAGAGTTAATGCTAGTCAACGTGAAATACCAAGAAAAATTAGATTAAAACATATACAAAGGGATATACAAAATAAATTAATTATGTAAAGTATTTAAATATTTTAAAAAATATTTTAGCAAGGGGCAAGGAATATTTTTTGTTACCATTCGATAGGGTACCTGAGATTTTTTATTGAAAAGTAATGCCCGTTATATGGAAAATGACTTTGGGTCGAGTTCTGGCCATTCAATGTATCAGTTTTTGTAAGTGATTGAGTTTTTGTAAGTGATTGAGTACATATAAGGACAAAAAACAAGAATTTTAATTCTCCTTAATTTTAGTTTTTAGATGTTATAAAGGAAGGGTAGTTAGAGGAGTTTGTGTTTGTGATCAAAATTATATTGGAAAATTCTGTGAACGTGAAATGCATTGTTTAGGATTTGAAAGAACAGAAAATGGATCGTTTAGTTTTTATTTTTAAATAATTTCTAATAATTATTTAGTTGTTATAATTGTAAAGAAAATTTTTGGGGAACAGATTGTGACAGACCAAAATGTAAACATGGAGGGAAAGAAAATAATTACACACAAATATGTGAATGTATTTCCCCTCATTCTGGTGTACATTGTGAAGTATTACGTGTAGAAGATGTTTATTATCATTATAATACAAGAGTATATTTAATTTAAAAATTAGGTATTTTTTAATTAAATAGGCTTATATTATTGGCCCAATTGGTGTACTTTTAATTATTCCGATGGTTATTTGCTTCATTGTTTGTGAAAGAAATGCAAGAAAAAGGCAAATTAATCGAATACAGAAAACTTGGGCAAATGAATTAGAAAATAAAGAGGAAATGAAAGAAAGAAGAAATTCTTTACTAAATTAAATTTTATTAATTTTTTAAATTTAAAAATTGTTAAATACAAATTTTGTATTTTAATTTTGAATATAAAAATATTTGAATTTCTAAATAAGTAAAATCTTTTTTCATTTTGCTATTAATAATATTTTTTAAGTATTTTATAACAGAATTTTTTATTATGAAGGGAAAAAAGTATAAGAATTTGCATTATTGTAATCAGTTTAATATACTATTAAAGATAATTCCAACTCTGATCCAATTCTATTTACTTTATGTAATTAGGTATATGTAATTTTTATATCTAACTAGCGGAAGGGTTTCCAAATTCTAGATCATTACAAATATTTATAATTAAGAACATCTCATACTTACTCATTTACTATACAGATTTAGTTATATCTAATTTCAACATTCAATCATTTTTATTAATTTTTCTAAATTTTGTGGAGATTGTTATAAAAAGCATCATTTTATTGTAAAGATTAACCACTATTTTCATTCAGATATTTAATATAATAATTATTTAAATAGACTGTAATGGAAAATACTTTATTTCTAAATATTAAAAATATTTATTCCTACTAAATAATAATATTTATTTAATATTATTAATTACAAATAAATTGGCTAATGAAATATTCATTATCTTTTTCTTCAATTTAATTTTCTCCATTACTGGAAGTTATCTGAAGGTTCAGGATATGGTTCTATTTTATTTTCTTCTTTTTGAAATTTATGGCTAAAATTTAAATAATTAAATAAAAAAATAATTAGGTAAGTAAACCTTGGTGGATTTATTTCTGATTCAAAATTATTTTCTTTTTCTAAAGTGCTTGGAAAATCAGGTAAATTTTCATTATCTTTTGGCTTATCAAGTAAATTTTTAAAGAAATTACTTTCACGTTTTGGTCGTTTAACTTCTTTATTTCCTTTACTTTAAATTAAAAAAATATTTTTTAATTAAAATTAATGAATTTAAAAATAAACATACAGATTTTTACTTTTAATATTTGCTTCAGATTGTAAAATAAAAAGGTAAATAACGAGTAAAGCGATAATACAAAATTTATAATTTTTCATTTCAATCTAAACGAAAAAATTGCTAATATTTTCGGAAATTTTAGCTATTGACGGAATATTCGTCTCCAAGATACATAAATACATATATCTAAAAATAGTTCGTGACAGTCATTACCAGGAAACTAGCCGACACAAAAAATAATTCCAGCTCTTAGGAATCGGAAATCGGATCGGGAGATCCCTGGTCATCATCAGTTAGTCTTGATTAGTGCATGGATTTATAGTCAGGCAATGGCTTATATTTTTGTTTTCTTTTTTCTATATTTTGTTCAAATTAATCTATTAATTAAATTTATAAAGACGAAAATTCCGTTATTTGTAGAGAGAATACATATTTATTTTTATCAAAATAACCTTCATTTATATATTTTAAATATTTATATAAGCAAAGTTGTTGATTATTCAGATGATTTAAAAAAATAAACTTTTAAGCCGATTTTTTAACCGTAAACAAAACACTCAAAAGAAATCACTCTAGAATGAACAAAATTAATTTTAAAATCCTCTTTAAATTCATCAATAAGCAAACAAAAACAAAAAATTTTTTATTTTTGTACTTTTAAAATAAAAATTGAGAATAAAAAAAAAGTTTAAATTTAGAAATCTTTGTATAATCTACAATTATTTTTAGTTTAAATCTGTTTTTTGACAGTCCCCTTAAAATAAGGGAGTATTAAAAACTGTTAAATATCAGAGGAGATATTTACAAAAAATGAAATTTAAATTTTAAATTTAATTTACCAAAAAAATTCGAAATATTTTGTCAGAAACATTTAAACAATTTAAAAATTTTGTAACTAAATTTCTGCAACAAATAACACAATTTCGTTATTTTCTATTTTTATTCTTTTTTCCTTTTCAATAACCACCAAAATTACCATTTTCGGATATTTCTAATTTATTTTTAAAAAAATTTCAAAGATTTTCTAAAAAAAATATTTTTTATTAAAATAAAATATAAAAATAAATTTTCAAAAGAATTTATTAATTCCAACAATTTATTTGACTGATTATTGGCCAACTTGTCTTTTACAAATGCAAATTAATATTTTATAATGAATAGAGATGAAATTAATTTTTGTCAACCAAAATTAAATGTCTGAAAATGACATAATAACGAATAAAATAGGAAATTTTTTTAATTTTTTTGTGTAAAGGATATTTATTTAAATAAATATAAATGCTTTTTTTTAAATTATTTATCCTTAGTTTTGTTAATGTGAGGATTTCCCCTTTAGATATCTTGCCGTTGTTTGGCTTTGATAAAATTTTAAAAATTAATTAATCAATTAAAAATATAAATTTATATCAAAAGTTTTTTTGGTCTTTAATTCATTTCAGTCTTGACAGATCCGACTGTTCCGACCTTTGTTTGTGTCTCTCGTCATTTATTCCATTTTTGATAAATAAATATTAACAATTATTAATAAATATAATTATTTTATAACAAATCGTTCGTTTTTCAGCACATTTATTTATTAATTAAATATCCACACCCTCCTCTTAATAATTCGTTAGAAATTATTTTACAAATTAAATAAACCATAAAGAGCCTTACAAATTAATTTATTTAAAGTAAAAATAATAAAATTGGTTAAATATTTTTGTCATTAAATCGTTAAAGAAAGTAACAATTAAATTCTTTTAAAAAATTATTATTATATATTAATAGTGCCCCAAAATTATACATAGCAACGTTGATTTTTCGAATAATTTGTTAACAATTCGACTTAACGTAGCACTTTAATCTTGAAATTAAGTAGTAGATTTCAAATAAGTAGATTTCATTTGATTTTAAAAATAAATTATTTACTTATTTATATTTTAATATTCAGTTATCTTTGGTAAATTTAAAATTAATGGCATTAACTTCTAAACAAAGTTTTTTGTTTATATTTTTATTTTCTTTTTGCTTTTTAACATCAATTAATTGTCTTCTCGGGACATACAACTTCAATCAACCTGTCCAATTTAATAGACTTTTTAAGTGGGATCCAATTGTGTGTATTAAATATTTTTTTATAAATAAATATTCTATTAGAAAATTATTTTAAAAAATTTTAAAGTGTGGAAAATTGGGCTCCATGATTTTTTGGAAATTTGGGCTCTCGCGGAATTTTGGCTTGAAAAAAACTGAAAATTGGGCTCTAAAATTTTAGTTGCAGTGAATTGTGGGTGCCGAAATGAATTTTTGGATTTAATTTTTATTGCTGTACAAGTTTTTACTAAATAAATACCAATTTTTCGGTTTCTCGCTCAGAGCCTGAAATTTCGCTGTAACCCAAATTTCAGAAAAGTTGGAGCCCAATTTTCCAAAAAATCTTTGAGCATAATTTTTCGGGACTCATTTTAAAATATTTTTAACCATTAAAAATTTTATTTTCTGCATCAAAAACATTTTCCGATTCAAAAACTTTAATTATTTTTAAATTTTAGCAACAATTAACAGCCAATAATTTGGTAAAAGATAATGGAGGTATTCCTTCCTCTTCTAATCAAAATCCAAAAAGAATTCAATTAACTGATGAAATGTTACAAAAAGAAGTTTTTAAAATTAATAAATTAATTAAAATTAATTAATTTAAGATACAAGAAATATTACCTAAAGTAATTAATACAAAACAAGAAAATATTGGTTTTTATGGAAAATAATATTTTAAATTGGCTAAAGAATATTAAATATATTTATAGAAAAAAGAAAATAAATCAAAGATTTTTTTAATTGTTTGAAATACCCCCCAATAAATAAATTAAAATAATTTTTATAAAATTATTTTGAAAGAATTCTTCCACAAATTGTACAATTTCTCGTTTTTAAAAGAAAAAATTGATTTTTATTTTGTATTTCAATTTCATCCAATTTTAGCCTTTCTTCCTTTCTTTTACACATCATTCTACCAGATATTGAACTGTGTGAATGTCCTTTAGGTCTGTCAATATATTCTGGATATCCACATCTGTCAAAATAAAAGCTTGAAGGATGACTTCCTCTTGTCATAAAATACATAATTGCACCTAAAGAGAATACATCTGCTGATTTATCGTAACGTTGGCCCTCAACTACTTCCCTTTTTTGAAAAAAATTTTTTTAATTAAATTTTTGAATGGCTCACGGTGCCATATAACAAGGTGTCCCGCATTGTGTTAAAAATGTAGAAGAGTCTGGAATGTCTTTTGAAATTCCAAAGTCAGCAATTTTCTTTAATTTATGTTTTAATTATATTTTTAATGATTATTAACCAATCTAATTTGAACACCAACACGGCCAATTAAAATATTTGCAGGTTTTAAATCTCTGTGCATTAATCCAATAGTATGTAATTTTTGAACACCTTTAACTAGTTGTGCCAAAAATGTACTTGCTTTTATTTAAAAAATAATTATTCATTTATATATTTAATATACCAGAATTTCTATCAATTCTTCCCACTCTTTTAACAAAAGCTTCTAAAGAACCCCCAGAACAATATTCCATAACTATACAAATAGCTCCATCAACACTTTGAAATATTTTATGGCATTGCACAAAATATTGTTCAAATTCTGGTCTATTCAATTGACGCATAATTTTTGCTTCCAAAGCTGCTGTGTCATTCTTAAAAAATATTTTTATGATAATTTGTTTATTTTAAATGTATAAATAAAGAATTATGTATTATATCCAAAAACTATGGAAATATTCCAAAATCAAAAAGAAATAATTAGCCAAAAATTGCTTTAAAAATTAGGGAAAGGTTAAAAATAATTAATAAAATAATTTGTATCAATCTAAATATACACATTCTTCCCCCTCCCTCCTCTAATATACTTTAATTAATTCCTCAATTTTAATTTATTTATAAAAAGGTTACTTATATTCCTCCAGTTTCTTTTTAAAAAATTTCGTTAAATAATTTTTAATTTTTTACCATAATTCTTTTAATAGCCACAAATTGCCCTTTAGA